TTTTTTAGTCAAAGCCGGGACAATGAACGTATGATCTGTTTGTACTACACAGACAGGGATCTCCCCAGAAATTCAGAGCAGGGTGGAGGAGGGTGCAAAGCACCCAATGCGGCGGGGGGGAGGTCTGGAGGGGGGGGGGAAGCTATTGCATTTTGTCTTTTCCAAACACAAACGGAGGTCATTTCCTGCAACTTCAGTTCTACATTTTCTGTACAACTGCAGATGTATAAGGCAGTAGAAAGGTTCAAGATCTGTACTTAATTATCCCCATGTTCAAAAAAATTCTACCCTTAATTTTGAAAAAATTGGACATAGGTTCCCCGGATGACCCCTAACCGGGGGCCAACGGTGCTTCCACAAGTTCAACAAGTGAAAAATACATGATACAAAATGTACATGTATTTACTACCTGGAACTTGGAGCAATTTATTCCAAAGATGTTAACTGACATTAATATATTAAAAACTAAACCAAATCCTATTTCTCAAACAAATCACATATTGACACAGCTGAACAAATAAAAATGTGATCATGTTTATAAACTCCACTCAAAAACAATTTTTGAGAGACACTCGGGTCACCGTACTAAGCGTGATAATCTCTAATATCTCATCTGATTCTCCCAATATGTAAAGGGTCTTTACAATGACAGCATCCAACCGCACATACATAGAAACAACAATATTACACAAGAAACCAATTAATTCGGAAAATTTCTCAGTAATGTTTGAAAATTAACCGTACTAAAATATAACTGAATTTTTATTTCAGTTGTAGCCGAAAAAATATTTTCATGCGTTTAAAGTATCGTTTTAGCACTGTAATATGTACTTATTACATGTATCTATACATTTGGATGCTATCTTGACCTTTGACCATTGTTATTGTGAAAACAGGTCGGCCATGTTGTCTTTCTCGCCGTGAATTTTCGAGCCGTTTTTTCGAGCAAATTTCAACCGTTTTAAACATTTTACGGCCTCAAAAACTCATATAACGAGGAAAACAAGTTGTAGTTGTTATTTTCATGCGTAACATTTCTTCTGGGGATGGATTATTTTTCCGTCGAGCTGCCGAAAACTTAGCGCCATGCCGCAACCATGCGATCGGGCGCGGCCGGCCGGCGGGAGTTTTACTTTGTATCGGTGAGCTTTCGCGATGTAAACAAAGACAGTCGGAGTTGTTTACATGAAAATTTTGTTGTGAAACGCCAGCGGGGTGTCAGATTTTCTACCAATGACAACGTTTTCTTTGTGGCGTCATGGCGAGATCGACAATTCATCGTCACAGGATTGTGCCGACAAAATGGAATTGAATAGCGGCCCGATCCGTGCAATTAGCGCTCGATCCACGCCGCCCGACCGAAGAAAATTGGAATGACGAGCACATTTATCGGGGATAAAATCCCCAATTTTGAAAACCGACCGCTAGCCGCTCGAAATTTTTGGTCGGCCCAAAAAAGGCTAGGGTCGGGGGGTTTTTCATAGGGTCGGTCGGGTAACCGGAAACACAACATTTTTTTTCCTAGGCCTAACAGTACTTTTAGCTAGTTTAGGCACTCCATTTTTCTCTTCATAATTTACTTAGACTGTAAGTAATACAGTAATAATGCCACAAAACAACTATATGGTATTTTAAAGTTCCCATGGCATTGGTTGTCCCTGTATCCTCCAGAGTCCCTTTGAGCGTCTGGCAGTAAAGATGGAGGACATTTCGGGCGGGGACAGGGGCGTAGTGAAGAAGGTTCTGAAGCAGGGAGTGGGAGATGTGGTCCCTGCTGGAGCTTATGTCAGGGGTGAGTGTCAGTTGTTTGAACTTCTCACTGTTGTATGTAGTTGTGGTACAAGTAAGCCCGCTGCTTCTTGGCTATATGGTTGAAATTCCATGGATCCAGAGGGCAAGGGTTCGAGCCTCACACAGAAAAACTGGTTGGGATTGTACAAGTCCCCAGACACCCTTCAGATGGGGACTGTATTACATTGTATTTCATGCATATGTTGTACAAATTAATGTTATCTAAATCTGTACCTCTGCAAGGTGTGTACATTTGATCCATGTATCCTGTCTCCACAGTTCACTATAACGGCTACCTGGAGTACTCTGATGAACCGTTTGACTCCAGTAGACTTCGCAATGAAGAGCTCAGGTTCAGACTGGCAACAGGTAAGAAAGCCACACCTGACTTCCTGTTTCTTAAGTCCGACTCCTACACATTTTCTTTGATTTCAGGAAAATGAAAAATAAAAGGATTACTTGTGCCATTTAAGATATGATTAAACCCAAACCAACTGGCTCCCTCCCGTATAGGATCAGTTGTCCCAGGGATGGAGATTGCCATTTCCAGCATGAAAAAGGGTGAGCGGTCTCGGTTCCTGGTCCAGCCAAACTACGGCTACGGCAAGTTTGGCTGCCCTCCTAGGATCCCTGGCAATGCCACAGGTAAGTACTACGTAGGGATCACAGGGTACCAGTACACTGGATAGATCCATTGTTTTTGTGATGACCAGTGTGTCCACCAGTGATTTATCCGTCTGTTACAAGCTCAGAATGGTGGGTCTCTGACTCTCTGTAGTATAGGATCTGGATCTAAATGAATATTTACAGTACCTTCAGTCCTGAAGGAAGGCAGCATCTTTGCTGACGTCAGTTTGCCAGACAGGGCACTCCTAGGCTGTTGTTTCCCAGGGTTGCACATGTAACGTTACGTCTATATTCAGTATTATGTAACTAATGAGTTGTTCATGTTTGTTCCCTAGTTTTGTACGAGATAGAAATGTTGAACTTTGTGGACAGGAGTACAGCTGAGGAGTTCAACTCACTGACAGAGGTGGGAAAAGGACTGCACTCAGTCTCACTTCTGCTCCTCTCCAATCAATTTATCATCCGTCCTTTCCTTTATATTTTCAAGTGTTTGTGACAGTTTCTCCGAGTTCTAAAATAGTGTTACATGTGTCAAATAATATCTGGGTGACATGAACTTCTGTGTTATCTGTTTTTTTGCCTAGGAGAAAAAAAAGGAAGCGACATTCCAGCAGCTCCTTGAGGTTGCTCATGTGGAGAAGAACCATGGGAATGAGTACTTCCAGCGCCATCAGTTTAAACAAGCTATCAGCAAGTACAGCAAGGTTAGAACTGTTTCATCAGAGGACATGTCAGCCTGAGGGGGGCTTTCACCACTTTCCTGGTTCTGATGAAATCAGAATTGATTCCAGAGTATTGTTTCTATTGTCTTTTTCAGTAAAAATATTGTTTTTGCTATGTTTCCTCTTCTTCCGTTCCAAACACTGACCTGGCCAATGACCTGATTTGTTGACATCTCTCACCATGGTAACTGGTGTTGGGTTACATAATGTTGCAATTTTATAGTAGGAGGGATTTATACTCCTGTCTTACCATATACTGTATAATTATGAATGTATTTGAGTAAGAATGAACAAAACAGACCATATAGGTAAACTTTATGCATTTGCTTTGCAAATGTTACCTTTCTAGTTTTCAACCTCTGTTTGTAACTGGTATACTGTCCTCAGTGGTAACAGTTTGTTTGCTCTCTTTATTGATCTCTGTCTTGCTGAAAATATGTGGTACACAAAACTACCCAGCACTTCCTAACCTAGTAACCAAACTACATGATTTCTTCAGGCCCTGAGGACGTTGGAGAATGCTCGCTTGGCCAATGATGAGGAAGAGGCCAAAAGGAACAAGGTCCTGCTGAAACTGTACAACAACATGGCGCTGTGTAACCTGAAGGTCGGAGAGTACGCTCGCTGTATTGCCAACTGTAACCGCGCACTCGAGATCGATGGCGGCAACGTGAAGGCTTTGTATAGAAAGGGCCAGGTCAGGTATTTCTATCATTTTGGAAATACGTAAAGTCAGCTCTCATAATTCCAATGAAAATCCTAAGAATAAGTTATAAAAGTAAAAATGCCACCTGAAAAAAATGGTGACTTCAAAGAGTAATCCCGACCTTACATGTACTGATGTAGCTATGCACCATTCAGATCTGGGTGACCGTTTAAGATATGAATACTTGAAGAGAACTCAACATTTCATTTTTTTAAGATGGCGGTCATAGGATGGCTGGTGGAATTATGAGAGTTGAGGTCACAGTACAGTATATAAGGAAATTATGTACTTCTTATTATAATTTATATAGTTATTACACACACATAAGTTATATATATATTTACTGTCGTTAAAGGATTACCCTCGACATCTGTACATGATTCATTGGACTTTCTAAGTGTGTGATCTATGCACTGGGTTGTAACTTACTACAATGTACTTGTCACAGAGAAAAGCTGTTCAAATATTTTGTGCAGACATGAGTACTTGGAACAATATATAAGTCTTTACATTAGCACATAAGTGTCTCATGTATTAGGTTGTTTGGTGTTAATTTTGAACAAAGAAGCAGTTAACAGATGTGTGACCTTGGTAACTTTGGTACTTGTTGTCATAACACTGTATCTTGTTCTTTTCTGAGCCAGTATAATTGTATGTAATAATATACCTTAGTACTTACCTTACATATAATCAACTATTCATCTCTCTTTCTTACTTGTGATAGGTTTTACACACACAAGTCTCTTCAGCCGCAGGGCTCAAAATACTGGGTGCATGTGCACCTTAGTACATCCAAATTTGGAGCTGTGCACCCATGTTTTTTTTGTGGGTGCACCAGTGCACCTAAATATTTTCATAGGTTTACGTATGTAAAGATGTTAAATGTATACCGGTAGTTACTGTAGTATACAGCATATTTTTAACATCTAAGGGTCAAAAAAATGATAAAATCATTGTTAAGTACATTTATTTAGAAATGAAACATAATTAGTTTTTACTGACATTCTACCTAATATATGGTGCACCCAAAAAATTTTTTGTGCACCCAATTTTTTAGGTTAGGTGCACCATTGCAGTTATTACCCAAAATGAATTTCGAACCCTGAGCCTGACACTTTGCTCCATCCATAGATACTTATTATTCCTATTCTCCCAGGCTCTGTGTGAGCTGAGTGAATTTGACAGATCCAAAGGCTGTCTGCTGAAGGCTCAGAACCTGGCACCCAACAACAAGGACATCAGGGAGGAACTAAAAAAACTCGACAGGTCAGTGTGAAAGTCAATGGTCACGACATTGCTGTCCATGCAATAGATTATGTAAAACCTATTTCTTTGTTATACTATTGAGACTATGGCTATTTTTATGGATCTTCAACACCTTCAGAAATTACAGCAATGTTTCCATTGGTTGGAATTTTACAAGAGTTTTTTGTTGCAATTTTTTTCAGGAAGTTCCGTCAGTTTTCAATGCTTGAGAAGGAATGCTGTCGCAAAATGTTTGGTGGGCTGAAAGGAACACAGGGTATGGAGACTGACTATACAATAATTTGCTGTACAGTTCCCTGTTACAGGTTCTACTTTGAATTACCTGCACCAGACATATAAAATTTCCTTAGTTTGCCTGCATTACTGATTTTCTTTACCTTTCGGTGCATCAGAATGTTTGAAGATGTTGAAAGGAAATGTAGTTCCAATTTGAAGCATAATTAATATTTTTCAAATGTCTTTAACCCCTAACTTTAACATCCAAAACTTTAAAGAAGCACATTGCTCATGTTGTTGCACTTTGCTATTGTTTATCTGACACTAGAATTATTTTCAGAGATCAAAAGCTCAGACATTCCAGAATGCAGTGCTGAGTTCAAAAAACTTATTGATGACAAGTTTGTGTGAGTATAGTTTTTTTATCTGTAAAAAAAATGTCTAAAATTCAGACATCAACATAGTTTTGTACATATGCTACAATAACACAAGGTTAATTGCCATTTTAGCTTTCCTTAATTATCTATAGATGTATCATTTTGTCCTTACATTTAATTTACATAAAAACACTCACTTTGAGAAGAAAGTCTGTACCTTGGTGCACATACATGTGGTTTCACGGCCTCAATACACAGTATTTCTCTATTTCCTTCTTGTCCTGTTTCTAAAAATGTTTACAAAGAAGACCCAGTACATGTACATACAATTGTATGGCTGTATCAGTTACTATCACTGCCTCATTTCATACTGCATCTCCCTTTTTTTGACCTGACATTGGCATTTAAGTCGTTTCTCAAGTATCATCTCTGCAATACCCAACACAACAGACAGGACTGATGCACTCACTACGAACGTAAGGGCAGCAGTGTCATACCACTTTTCCTTAGCCTTCATGAAGTGCCATCCCAACGCCATGGCAATGTTCCCCAGTAGGGTCAGTACTGTGTTCAACCAGAAGGTTTTTAGGTAGAAGATGGACCAGGTCATGCTGAACGTGTCCACTGCTGCGGCAAGCCCACACATCAGCATATTCACGGTAAACCACGCGTCACGTACGGTAGTGACGGCTATCGTCAGGATAACCCATTGGGCGGCCAAGACCACGATCACAATCCACTTTGCAATGGAGGCAAACAGTCCAACAACGAAGGCACGCACACAGAGCTCGCAGAGTTTCCAAACTGTGACAAGCAGGATTCTTGCGAGGAGTCTCGCCGTGCTCAGATTTTCCTTCGACAGACACTTGTCGTAGAAAAATGCCACCACGGCCTTGACGGCAGCTACAAGGGACACGGACATTGACACAACTTTAAGTGGTGTCAACAACAAAAATAGTAACTCTGGCTCACTCCTGTCTTCATCATCTTCATACATTCTAGTGGTCTCCCATACCTGTTCTGTGTTGTTGAAAGTACCTGTTGAGCTGTGGTTGAAGGGCACGATGGTAGACATTGGTTGGGCGCTGTCCTCATCAGCCATACATGTAGTCGTGTTGTAAAGTCCCACACAGACAGTGATGTAGAACTGTAGACTCAACTGAGGCATGGACTGGAGCACCGCCTCCGTTAAGTGAATGATGGGTAAACCAGGGCTGACACGACCACTTTCCCCACCGCCCAGTCCCAGCCATAGATTCAGAAAAACAGCTCCGTACTGGATGAACACCCCAATCTGAAGCACGTGGAGGATACATAGAAGAGGTCGATATTGTTGTATAGTCTTCCACTCATAGAACAGGGAAACAAGCTGAATGATCAGCGATGGCCCCAGGACAAACGCAAGGGTTAGCGAAAACCAGGTGTAGTCTTCACTCCGCAGGTACCGTACAGCCAGCAGCAAGTCTGTCACAATGTTGGCCACGTAGAGCAGAAGTGGGATCAGAACCAGAGCAAAGATCAGCCCTGCTGTCTGTGCTCCCTTCCTGCTGTCTGCCATGGTCTTGGCACAGTTCCTCACCTGTTATTAGTGTTAATCACAGCTCTGTACTGGAAGGTTGTTTTTCTGTCCCTCAGAAAGCAGACCACAAAATGTCCAAGCTTCTGTGACCAGTAATCTTTTACAAGTAGGTATTACCATTAGAATTGTATATCACACAGCGAAAATGAAAGTTAATGGTCTCCAAGAGCTCTTCAAGTTGACGTTAAGAGGGTAAAGGTATGTTTGTCCTTCCTAGTGTTGACCGCTTGCCAAGTCACATGACTGACAAATGACCCCCAGGTGTAGGTTTCACTCATGCTACTTGTTGTGCTTTGTTCAATCCATTAGGAAACAGAAAAGAAGCAGTCTAGTGGGAAGATCTCTAATATTTTAAGTAGTATAGTTCAGTGTAGTTCCCGTTGTAAAAAAAAAGCCCCCAAGCGACACAAAGTGAGGTCAACAATGGTGTTTTGTTTGCTTTGTACATAAAGAGAGTATTGAGTTCTGGTATGTGACTAGGATTACAGTCCTGTTCTGCCTTATTGAATGTTGGCAAGATGCCATTGAACAGAAAAAGGACATCTTTGCCAACTTTTGGCTCACTGTCTGAGAAACTTAGCATGATGTCTTTATTTGTGTGACCTTTCAACTCCTGCCTTAGGCCACACCAATTTAATTTGTTGATTCTCAGATTTTTTTCAGAAAAAAATATGAAGTGACAGGGCAAAAAAATAAAAAATAAAAACAGGTCAAGGCATCCTATTATAGCCCCAAATGCTTAGATGAAGTCAACACAAAAGGCTGGGTTGATATTTAAACAATGAATTTTGAACTTTAAATCAAACCACTGCATTGATAAATGGAAAAAGTGTAACAACTAGGAGGATAAGGACTTTCCTCAACTGTTGGAGGCAAAATATGAGCATTTTTGAGTTGATTCTGAACCAGAATCTTTTTGTTTGCAAATCAGAAACAAAATGAAGAGGCAAATCTGAGAACCAACAAATTAAATATATATTGGTGTGGCCTTATGACCTATGAATATGTGGTTGGTAGGACCATCAGATGTATTAGAAAGATAGTGATGAAACAGAAAATACCCGGTAGTGGAGGGCACAGTGCATCTTTATTCTTTTCCTAATGTTTGTAGTTATAAAGCCAGGCTGACTAATCACCGTTACTGTTCCTTGAAAGGCGGAATTATTTTGCTGTTAGCATCTCGATGAAGCTATTGACAGATGACATATTTCACTCAATGGATCCTCCAATCTTAATCTTTAATCATGATAGTTATATTTGAGGTGACATTAGGAATACATTTTAAAGAATAATTTGTGACTTAGTTTTATAGTGTACAAAGTGGAGCCAATCATTTTCAGTGCAATTCTTACATCTATTCAATGGTCCTGTTAGATGGTATCTACATCTTTCTACAATTTTCAATTACAATTCACTTTCATTTACATTCTTTTACTTCTAGTACTAGTACTATTTTAAGGACTTGATTTTACAGCAGCTGTTGGAAATATTATAGATGAATTATATATACAAAATTACATTTCACAGTGTCACAAATTTGAACAATTCTGAAGATTAAAAGTATTTACATGCCATTGATCCACGAAATATGTTACAGTATACTTGTACATTGCATGTGTACTTGCCTTTGTTGTTCCATTGGTGCTGCCATTGTTGTCCATGGAGTGCTAGTTGTTTCTACAGTTTTTAAGCAGTTCTGAATCATTTCAGTCCATCTCCACCAGGGCAAGATCTTTTGTTCGTTGCCCTCTGTGTGATCTTTCTGGTCCTGTCACTCCGTGGGCATCATGGATGATGTGGTCACAGTTTTCCACTGCAGACTGTTCATCTGGAGCCAGATGTGGTGTGTTTTGTTCCTCTCCGGGTGCAGGACCTTCCTGTAGATTAGGGACATCTTCTGTTCCAGCCTGTTGTTCCTGTGGGTTCACACTGCTTCCCCGTATCAGGGTGACAATTGTCTGGTGGATGCCTGTCAGTTTCTGCCGAATTGTATTCCTCAAGTCTGGTGTGCGGATGATTGTTGCTATCGGATTAATGAGTGAGTTCAGACAAAACCCCGCAAAGAAAAGACTGCTCCTATAGCAAATATCTGGGATAATTTTGCAGGCTGCAACAGACAGAAGGGGTAACAGCCAGCAGACGAATGCCACCGCTACATGAATCATCACAGTCCTTGCCTTGTACACCATTTCTTCAAACTTCCTGTTGGCCTCTTCTTGTGCAGTGTTGTTTTGTGCATTTTGGTTCACTGTCTGTTCAAGCCTTCTCTTTGCCCGCTGTCTGATTGCTGTATACACACTTATATTTGTGAACAGCATGACAATGCACAGCAAAAACAGTATGGATGCACAAGTGATTACAAAGGCCAGAGGGTACCATGAAATGCAGATATTGGTGGTTAGGGTTTGCATGTGAAGACAATTCCAGCCCATACTTGGTGAGAAGGCAAGCAAGGAGAAGACAATCCAGGAAACAGTCAGAGCCACACCTGCGCGCAGTTTGGCACTGTCGGCGTGGATGTGGAAGAATAGGGGATGCGATATGGCAACATAGGCGTCAATAGACAATAGGGACAGAGCTGATGCTGATATCATCTGAGTAAATATGGTTAAGTTGATAAACGTTATGATCAACTTGTAGTTATCAATTGCATTGAGTCCGACATGACCAACTGTGCGGTACAGAAGTCCGATGCCTGCAAAAACATCTGTGACGGCCAGATTTGCCAGGTAGATGTGGATTGGTCTGTGGAGTTCTTTTGTTGTGATGATTCCCAGGAGCACGGGAGCGTTACAGATGAAGATGAGAAGTCCCATCAGCCAGAAGACAACGTCAGTACCTGTCCCCAACCTCACAAGGTCCTCGTACATGGAGCAGGCTTGGTGGGCTTGTGCGAGGGATACCGTATTGTTCTGTAGATGCCATTTGTAGCAGTAAACTTCTGAAGTCAGAAACAGATGTCTCAGGGAGCATCCTTGGGTCGGAGGTGTTGTTGAACATGCTGGAGCTGATTTTGGTCTGAGGTGAGATTTCCAAGCTGTGGACATTTACTCTACTGTAGTTTGTTTGCCTGGGCAAGATGGCTAGAGCAATTATGAAGCTGCACCTGGTCGTGAAGCTTCCTAGGAATAATCACGACAGCGCTTGCTCAGTAAGACTCGTGTAGGCTGTTACCATGGGCAACACAGAATGATGTGACACTGTACAATATCATGATTAATTGCCTTGAAAAGATTTCAATGCTTCTAACATGATGGGCTGTTGCCAATACCTGCCTAGATAACAATGCAAACTTAATCAGCTGCATTATTGTATAATCATGGTTACTAACTATTGCACTCTGCATGCACTGTGAAAAACACATGCAGTGTCTGTTGTAGTGTTGAGATCATATGTAGGCAACTAATGCATCCCTAATATCTGTGGCATGCAAACAAAAAGATTATTATATATAATGGTATTTTTAGTGCCCTAGGGAACAGTAACTCAAAAGTCATCTTCTGAACACTGGGTGTCCCTTGCGGGACTTTAGCTCAGTATTTATATAAGATTATAGCTTAGATAAGATTTTGTGGTATGAACTTGTAGAAACACGACAGTTATTACTTGCAGATATTGTATAGAACATTTTTGCTCTTTCGTGTTTTACTTGTAAATAAAGCATGTCTAAATCCAAATTGTAATGTCAAAACACACTATTCAGGCTGCAATGTTTGTGCCAATGTTTTTGTATTTTTTTTAAATAAACCATTCATATACATTGTACATCTAGTATGAATAGCTTCATCAAGTCTGAAGCGGCAATTCAAAGAAAGAACAGTAACAGTGATTAGTAAGTCTGAGAGTTCCAGCTGATGCTAGTGGTAGAGATGATTCAGATCCTGTATTAAAGTGTCCATGAATTTAGGCAAGCAGATGGCTTTGCCATGAGCTTTGCAAGAAGAATCTTCTAGATCATCTCCTATGTTATTACTGCATGACATTGTGCTAAACTTTCTTGCACAACAGTTATACAAGGTACAATGCATGGCATCTATTGCTACATACATTGTACAAATGGCATGTACTAACCATGCTGTAAGACTTTTAAGTTAAAACCTTACAAAGACCATTGGTAGCAAAAGCTCAGGAAATGCCAAGTCAACATCAGGACCTGGTCTTCTTTAGATAAATGCCTAGTTGGGCCACACCGATTTAATTTTATGGATGACATCCTCTGAAGACCCCCAAACTAGTGCGCGCGGGCGAAAAAAATAAAAATCCGGCCAAAAATAAAAATGCTACAAAACCACAGGAATACAAACCTGGTATTGTGAATTTGGCGCATTACATAGCGACGTATACGACAGGCCGACACATGCTGGATTTTTGCGGAATATATGAATCGACACTGCTGTACGTATGTACTGAGTTCTTGAGTCTTGGAGCTTCGGTAGCCTGGCTGCCGTCAACCAGAGTTATCACCACCATGCACTACCCAGGCCTAAAGCCAGGCCAGAGCCTCGGAATACGTGATCTTTTTTTTTTTTTCTTGAGATCGGGCGAAAATCAATGCGCGCGCGGATGTCATCCATAAAATTAAATCGGTGTGGCCTTGTAGTGATTGATTATTATCAATCGAAAGCTTGTTTATTACGATTTCCAATTACTGTGTAGTTCCCCATCTGTTATGGTTGTTCATTCATCAAACAGGGTACCAGGGTATCAATAAATATTATTAAGCTGTCAAATGATATATGAAATACTAAATTAAATGCAATTGTTAAGTCACAGCAGATATGATCAAACTCAAAGCCTAAGAATTAAAAATTTGTGTCCACAGCTCATTTTGTGAGGATGCTGGCCTGCCAGAGATGACTTTCCCCCTGGAGAAGCTGACATCAGCAGAGAGAGACTGTATCCAACACACGGCCCTGGGGCTGGGCCTGGAGGTCACCACACGGCAGATGGTCAGTCTGGGTTTGATGTTGTCTTAACTATACCGGGGAGGGGGGGGTAAGATATTTAAGTCTTCTTTGCCTTTCAGGGCTTGTCCAGCATCTCCAGTTCATGAACAGAAGTTTACTGGTAGGTCCACAAAATTAGAATGAAGCCTTTTGAAATTTAACCCTAAGAAAGCACTTCACCTGATAATAAGCTTTCACGGGGGATTTTGTCCCAATCCTTCTGGATTCCTTGGTGCTTAACAAGTAGCTTCTGTCCATCAAATGGAGACAATGAAGAAAATTTAGTGTTGGATATAGAGAGCCTTGTAGTAACTTTTACTAGTGTAGTGCTCATTTACATCAAAGATGTGTGAATTTGACATACTGCTGAAACTTAATTATTTCATTTTGCTGCAAACTGCTTCAACTGTAAATTTTCCTTATATTTCAGTACAAGAATGCAAATGTAACAAACATGTCACTATGTCACACAGGGAGCAGACAAGCAACTGCGAGTGAGAAAGAAGACTTCTGGGGGAGCCTAGATGAGGTCAGTTCAGACAGAAAGAAAACTCAAGTCAAAGCCATTCCCTTGCCACAGTCCTTTACAAAATTGCCAATGATTCTATCAGACACTGATCTTGGGGGGAAAGGGACAGCCCCAAAGGTTTAGTGCTATAGAATTAAACTGGAGGCTGTTATACACAGTCTCTAATATAATGTGTGCCAAATTTGGAAGGACTTCTAGTATCATACTGTTGTACTGCATGCAGTACTGTGTGCTTTGTCAGTTGCCATACTGAAAAAAAACAGATGTACTTGTTTTGTTTGACTTTTTGATACTGGCATTCAGCTTTTGTGTTTGAATACCATTTTAGTTGGATAGCTAGTTTTAAGTTCAAGTTACCACATATTGTTGTACCAACTAAGTACATGTACTTGTAAAGTGTACGTTTCTACTTGACGTGTTTCATGAGATTGCTTCTCCGCACAAAGGTTCACTGGTACTTCGTTGCAAAGAGTTTCTGGTATTTTTTTACTGGCAAAAGTAACTTTTGTGTATTTTTCTAACATAGATGAGTAGTATTGTAGCAATATAGGCATGTAGAGAAACTGTAACATGGAAAGCATACAGTATGAAGAGCACTTACTGTATTGTTCATGATGGCCTATAAAAGGTGGAAACAGAGAGAAATCAGTTGAAGCCATTTATGAGAGGAAACTACAATGTGACATTATATCTGAAGTTAACTTCACTAGAGTTTGAAGTACATACATGTGTAAAGTATGATGTTGGATAGAACAAAAAATACAAATAGAGAATTTGATTCATCCGTCATGACATTGTATTCATTGCAACATACATGTATTACATGGAAATGAAAACTCATGGAACAGAATCAGTCTCCATTCAAGATATTTTGAATACTCAGCCCAATTTTCTTAAGTTTCTAAGCCTTAAGCAACATGGTTCATGGTAATAGTAATATACTAGTTAAATAGATCGTCACCAGTTACATTTTACAAAAAGAGCAACAATAACTGTGAAATGTATAATAAGCTAATATACATTTTCTATGCACCGAAAGTAGCAACATTTGCACCTTCCCAAATACTAAATAATTTATACCAACTACACAGGTTTGATTAACAGGAAAAATGATATTACCATGATTAAAACATAATCACTGACAAGACACAAGTTCTTTACATCCATTGCCACCAAATAATTGTGCAAATTAAACACGCTTGGGTGTAGAATATAGATAAATAATAAAATACACCATAAATATACAAATACATTTTATTAACTGCATAACATGTTATAGTACACCACCAATTGCATTTTTAAAATACTGACCGAATAGAAATATCACAAGCCTCTTTATATAACAACTTGAATCTATACCAACTGAACATATGTCGAGGACCATCAATATGATGACAACAATCATGTAACTAAGCATAATAATCAGGATAATACAGCACCAAATATGTTTTTCAAAAAATATGGTTCCCTGTCATAATACATACAAAAATGATGGCATGCTTTGCATAGCATTATACATGTGCGATATTTACTGCATACAGGGTTTCCTTTTCCAACAGCTCTGTCAATGCAACATGGCCGCAAAATGTGGCAAAAAGAAGTCTTGAGCGTGAATATTTAGTTAGGCTTCACGTACATGATTATTTTGTACTCTGGTGCATTTAGCCTTTAAGTTTCTGTATTCAATGCTAAACAAGTTTAGTGCACTTCTGGCAGCAAAGATAGAAGATGTTGATCCAGAAAATAACCTGATTATCCAGCATATAGCAGCAAGTCTGTCTCCATGGTGATGTCTCCACGGTGATGTCAATCATCTGTCTCTAAGCAGCAGACTCCTCCCCTGTGAAAGAAAGGGGATGGCTAAGCTTTATGTCGGGAGTAACTGAAATAACCAATCAAATTCAATAGTACAAGAAGATTCTTAACTACCAGTATGTAACATGCTCTTTGGTTGGTTGAACAGGGTGGTGCATCTCCAGGATTTGGCATCCAAATAGAAATGACCAATCGGATTTGAAGATACATCAAATTCAAATTGGTTTATTCAGAGAAGCATATTGCAGCCTGACGGCTGAAATGCATGCTTATTTACAGTCAATTGATATACAGACTTAGACTGAATTTTAAAACAGGTACAATTCTAAAATCATTATGCAACAATTTAAAATCACATTAAAAGCAGTAATTAAACAAGATGTAGTTATATAAGCTTAGTCAACTAATGGAGTCTCAGTACTTTAAGTGGCAGTCAATCAAATCGTGAGAAGACCCTATACAATCGTAGCTTAAGCAGTTCATGTAAATATTCGTGGCATAGAGTCTTTACAACTGAGTGTCGTTACTGTAGTAGAGTCTCAAAGCTCGTGGTATAAAGGACATTGAATGTCTTTTGCTTTTACTTCTCATTGACTGATGCCGACTTCCCCTGCGGAGGTTGTAGGGACTGGCCAAGGGGGTAGTGATGAATCCCCAGAGGGGAGAAGTACTGTCCTTTAGGATACTTTCAAGTGTTCTCAGTGTAGCTCTCTCGCGCCTGTTTGCTAGGGTAGGGAGTGCGTCAGCAGGTAGCCCGATGATCCTGAGGCAGCGCTTCTGGATTGATTCTAGTGAGTCTGACAGGTGTTTGGGAAGTCCGCCCCAAACCGGGCTAGCATATTCAAGAATAGGTCTTATGAAAGTCAGGTAGATCTGCATGAGGACATCTATCGGGAGCCCCGCCTTCTTAGCAACACTGAGGTAATACATTCTAGGTCGGGCTCTGTTCATCATGTACTCAATGTGGGCGTCCCACGTCAGGTCAGCAGCGATATAGACCCCGAGTAGTTTAAAGGAAGTGACTCTTTCGATCACCTGGCCTGATATTGTGGGTTGGGGAGGGATCATACATATGGCAGAAGATGATACAACACAAAGACAATGTACCGTGCTCCCCGGTTGGTTGTACCGGGTGGTGGATCTCCAGGATGTGTCGTCCCACGAACGCCTGCAGCATTTCCTGAATCTCGTCCGCGTTGTTCATGATGAAGGTGAACTTCGGTCCGCGCGTGGTCTTCACGGAAAACTCGTCATCGGCCTCGGTACCCCTAACCGTAAAAACACTTTTTAGCAAAAAATGTAAGAGACATGTTAGAAGGTTTAGAATGTTGACTCAGAAGGCATCCCAACATCTTTCAATTCATACAGTCTAATCCGTAGGTTCGCCACTCTCATCAGCCACTCTAGGGACCTGATGAAAATGCTCACAGTAGACAGGTGGCAAATACAGACAGGAGTCTTAATGCTTAGGCCACACCAACTTAATTTGTTGGTTCTCGGATTTTTTCATAAAAAATATGAAACAGGGAAAATAAAACAGGTCTAGGCATCCTCTTGTAGCCCAAAATGCTATGATAGGAGCCATGAAGTCAACACAAAAGGCTGGGTTAATATTTAAACAATGAATTTTTAACTTTTAATCAAACCACTGCATTGATAAAAGCCTGAAATAAACAATGATACGAGGGTAATAAATAAATAAAGGTGATGAGTCCAACATACTTTCTCTTAGACACGGACTTGACGTCTGTTAGCGGCACCAGCAGGGCTACTTTAGTCCCGCGGCCAGAGTCGCTCTCCTCCAGGACTGACAGCTCCTTCCAGTTCACAGCCGCCACCGCTGACCTCTTCAGCGTGATGCCTGGTCCACTCATCTTCTTTATCACATAAAATCTGGGGGATGAAAATAGTGTCCTACACTTACTATATTTGTAGATTATACCCTCTTCAGATGCTGCTTCAGCCAAAGAAATAGCTGTTCTTATTTTGGTTAATCCCAAATGAAAGTTCAGTTGAGTGGGGTCATGTGGTGTAACGGTACAGTGTTTGCCTCAGAACGAAGAGGTCCTGGGTTTGACTCTGCCATGCCACCGATCTTGTGGCCTTTGTAAAAGCACTTAACATGAATTTCCCCACTTGACTTAACCTTATCTGCCAATTAGACACTGTGCAGTACTAAGACCTTTCATCTACAACTAGTATTCTTGCTTCTCAAGCATCGTACTTTGTGATTTTCAAGAAAGGAGCATATTGGCTACCTTGAAAAGAGCTGTGCCCACTTGTCCATGGCCTGTCGTACAAGTACAGCCTTCTCCTCCTGAGATGAGACAGTTGTACCATCGGGGTAGAGCTGAAACATGGACCATTGGAATATTATTCAAGTTAGAGGAATCAGTCCAACATGATGATAATGGAAGAAGTTCAGGCAGTTCTGTCCATGGCTACCTTGGCAGTCTTAGTCAGTGATTTAATGCAGTCATTTATGAGTTACACCATAACCTGCTTGCACAGGAAGCCTTTTTCTACTGGTCTTGCTGAGGTAGCATATGGTGAGCAATAAGATTGACTGATTATGGAGACTAAGATATGAATGGCAAACTATGCTCTTTAGCATTTTAAACTTCTCTTTAGGCCAGTATGTAAGCTCCATACATTAAATATTACATGTAAATTAGGATAGTACTTGTTTTTAATGCACTAGCATCTTGAATTATTACCAATAGCTGATAATGCTAGTACATGCAAAGAGCTGTTGTACCTTCTTGAAACTGTTCAATGTAGCGTTGACCCAGTAGCCTGCTCCCAGCCTCTTCAGCAGCTTATCTGGGATGTAACTCTGTATAACCTCAATAAGGCCTTCTTCAGAGATGCTGGGGCCATGCTCGATGTAGAATCTTCTGGCAGAGAACTCTGCAAACTCAGCATCCTAGAGTAAGAGCAAAGAAAAATGTGTAGTCCAGTAGTTCATTCGTAAACTGATTTTTGGTGTACTACAATATTGCAGGCATATATTAGAAGCAAAGTTGTAACATGAACTCGAAAGGTGCGGAAGATATCTGTATTTTCATTGTTTTCTTCTTCTCAAAGGTATTGTGTTTGTTGCTAGGTTGAAGTCCTGGTTTTTGTGGATTGACAATTATTCCATCTGATCTGAAACATTTTGTACAAAATTACAGATATGCAATACAAACAAAATTAATCATAAAAAGCATCCTTACATCTTGACACTTGTACTCTCCATACTTGAGTCCTCCCACTAGCTGGTGGTAGATGAGTGTGGTTCCCACTGGGTCCTTGTATGGGTCATGCCATGGACCAAATACCTCTTTTCTGGAAGAACATATAGTCTCATCAATACATGGCTGACAAAATTTGGATTCAGTGTGAGATTGTCTCAAGCAAGTCGCTTTACATATATTCTAAGTCTTTGAAGAAAAAGACAGTGTACAATGTAGTTCACTGTAATGCACTGCATTGCATTGCACTGTACTTCAGTTTAAAACTGATGAAATGTACTGTCACAGTGATGTTTGGTATTGAATCTGTACCTGAAGAACAGATCCCACTGCACGTCTTTCCCTGACAGGCCTTCGTCCCTGCCTGTCTGTTCCACATGTGATATGGCGTCCATGATATGGTGCTCCCACTGGGCACTGCCGCTGGTTAAAGAGATCGTCTGCAACGGGATGAACAGATATACCATGTCGTTATCTTTCGGGTTTAAAACTTGGGGTTTCCATATAGATATGCTTGATTATTCAATCATCAAAGAGACAGTCATTGGTCTATGTGTTGCCAATTATACATTCAAAAGTTAATGGAGATGTTAATGCTTTTTTTTCTTGAAGGCAGTCTACAGTCTACAGTCAGACAAAACTGCATCACATGATTGTCATTTTCAGATATTCAGATAGTATGCCAGTGTTCTTCATTACAGCATGCATTATTACATTGTGTTGGTATGATCTGTTTGTTTCACAAAAGATCTGTTACTTGGACAAGTTTTACCTGATCAAACATGGTGATGTAGAAGGCGAATCCGAAGTGATCCAGAAGAGAGATCTTCTCCGACAGCTGGATCCTGAGCTCGCGGATCGTCGTAGCTGAATCTACGTCGACCTTCACAACTCGCTCGTCCATGAGAGTCACGGCTACCATGATTGGTCGTCTTCTCTTCACAGCCTGTTGGAAACAAATGTATTTTTCTTCAAAGTCTTAGAATATAAGTGACTTACCTGAGACAATCTCACACTGAATCCAAATGCTTTTGACTCCATTTTGCTTCCCAATTGGCAGAGAGGGTCTGAACTTGCACTTACTGGTTTTGTTACATTTGTCATTACATGATCACGTTAACTTTATTTCTTCTTAATTCCATGTTATCTGTGGGTCTTTGCAGTCTTCATTATTGGCATGGCATTGATACAAGGTTACATTTCTACAATGTGAGAAATCACTAACTACATTGTCTTTGTTCTATATTTTGATGTAAGATAAAATTTCAAAAACTGACATTATACTCCAGTTGAGGTGGTGGAAGACTCCTTGTGCCGTTGGAACAGGTTCTCCGCAGTCTCTCCTCACAGTACAGGTTATACTCTGGTGGGGCGTGGCTGCTGATGAAGTAACGCACCACCTTCGTCACCTGCAATTAACAAAAGTCAAACGATGATGGGCAACAGATAATTATACATTTGGGATTGCATCTTCTTTGCTGCATGCAATGCCAACATGTGGCAAGGAGTGGAACATCACACTCCGATGAATGCAGCTGAAGTCTGAGCCAAAATGTCTGAAACAAGTGACTGGTAGATGCTAAGCCAAGGAAACTTGTCCAAAGTTAAAGCTAAGCTAGCCATGGCGACTCGTGACTCCGGCTTATTTCATTGCTGATGGTAATAAAAGCAAAAGCTAAGCCAATAAAACTGACAAATGTGACTTGAGTCTCACCAGATTGGAGGGTGCGAAACAGCCGGCACACAGCGCCAACAGGAACCATCCTCTGTCCCGGCTCCGCTCAGAAGGGTTGTCTGTTAACTGTTTCATCAGCTGGGAGTAGATCTCATCCCTAGGGGAGCACAGGAATGGGGATCTCCTTCACATCATGTCTGTCAGCTGTGCATGCTTACACAAATTCGACTTAAATCTTAAATTCTAACTGCCAATGTAACACTGCGTGCAACCAATGAATTTCTTGGCCCTATTTATTCTATCCATGATTTTCTAGCATTAAGGTTGTATCTAGCCTGGGTGCCATCCCCAGTAGTATATTCGCCAGCTCTATAACTGTTATAGAGCTGGCGAATATACTACTGGGGATGGCACCCAGGCTAGGTTGTATCAGGCAAGACACTGAATGTTGGACAGTGTATACAAGAAATTGTACTGCATTAGTTTACCACCAGCTTGTATTAGTATATATTGCAGTAATGGACAGCTCCGCATGAAGGCGTACCTGAGTGCTTTGCTGTAGATTCCATATCCAGTGATGAACGCGACCTTTTCGACACCCGAAGTTGGCGGCAGGACCTCCGGTTGTGCCACCTCGTTGCTGACAGCAGCGTCTTTGGCGGCATTTTCCGTCGAAAGGTCATACTTTGACGTCTTCTTACCGGTGATTTTCGCCCCGAACTCCTTGAAACTCATTCTTCGTTTAATTGGAGGCTGCAAACACATTATGATTTAGAGATGAAAGTAAGTGGTGTTTACAATATATGCAGTTACGTATTGCAGTTACAATATTGCAGTTACGTATTCTCGAGTTGGTTCTACGAAAAATTTACAATATCTTTCTGTGTACAGCTAGAAAAAAAAAACATTTGAATGGATTGGAAGGCATTTCAGCACCTGGACAGTTCCCAACTGTTCTTACCGACCAGCATGCCACAGACATGTATCAAAGCTAGTTATCTAAACGTAAAACAGTCGTATTTTGTACATTTTCGTTTACAAACCTTTTTGCTGGACATAAACTCGACGACGTCGGTGTCTGCCACGTCTCCCATGAACTTCTGTATGGTGACCCACACCTCCAGCGCCGCCTGACGGAACAAACATCTATTACACCCCAACAATAAACAGAACACAACTGACATTTTAGATGGCCTCCGTAACACGATTTTTGTTAAAGTGGCGGTCGTAGGTACCTGGCAAAATTTTCAGATTCGATTTTTCCCCACCCTAGTCACCAACCTGTTGGTCATCCTCAGATTTCAGCTTGAGCAGGGGCTGCTTGAGTTGTTCCTTGGTGAAGGCGTGGTTTTTCCCGCCCTGGAAGTGACGCAGGGCGAAGGTGTCGAAACTGTAGTCCGCTAAGAACTCCCCCATGCCTTCTTCCAAGATGTCTTCAAACTCACCACCGTCTGCCAAGTTTAGCGCACTCAAGGACTGAGGGAAACGTAACACGCATTTTAGTAAGCATTCTTAGTGACCGCAATAAGAGTAGATGGTCAATCTGCAACTCTCAGCGGTACCTTTCTTTGCGACGATAATACTCAAGGCATCAGCCAGCAAGAACAGCATCTGATGACCAGGTTATAATTATAACAGTTAACCGCGTTTGAATTTTCTGACAGATACCATACGCGCAAGATATTTTAAGTTCTTGCATCACGAAAAAAGTCTTTGAATGCAACATCACAGTGAAAGGATCTACAAAGGGCGTATGTGTGTGAAACAAAACAAAACAAAAGAAGGGGTAAGGTATCCATGCTACTAAAAAGACTGGGTCCTGTAAAAAAGACGTAAGATTCACGTCCATGCTGATCAACATAAACTCCCCACATGGTGCCTAAAAACTAGGAACAAAAATGGTGAAATATGTGCACTGCAACAGAACTTGTGTGGGCAAACTGACATGAGAACGTGTTAGTGTTACCGGGTCCGAGCGTTGTTGGTCTTCAGCAGTGGCGCTGGTGGGCAGGGGGCGTGTTAGGTCCCAGGCCTGTACAGATTCACCACAAGTTATCCCTATGTTAGTACTGAGTGGTTAGTTTGTAAACTTTGTATTAAAGAAGTTTGACGTACACGGAATGTGCTGTCACAGTATACGTAGTGCGCAGTGATTTGTAGGAAGAGGGAAAGTTGTGCAGGTGTTTGCACTACTGAGTTCATCCGTGCTGTTGGACATTGTGTGCTCTCACGAATGAGTTTTGCCACTGCACGAAAGTATTGTGAGAAGGATCTTTGTAGTTTTGTTCAGTGCACGTGCCTAATGTGTTCTACTTTAATGGATTTTTATTCGGTGCAACTGTGTGGTAGGCTGAAAGAAGTGTCCGGTACGCAGCCGCTGATACACACCATGTGCTCTATGTCTACAAGAAAGTTCACTTTAACCACATCACGTGTATGCCATGCCATGTTTCCGTGTTCTAAAAGCGCCCCCTAGGCCTGTGTGCAGTGACAACATCGCCGACTGTCGGGGTACCATGACTACCATATATGGTACCTGGTCTTCGGACTCGTTATCCCCGTCATTGACCTCTGACCCCTCGGGAGGGGCTAAATACAAGGACGCCCGGGACGGCTTTTTGCCCCCCAGCAGCGAAAATCTCCTCCGGATCCCCGACTGTTGTATGGATCACCGTGAGTGGAAATAGTGTCAGTAGAAAATAACCCTGCTTAAAATTTGTGTTTGTTTGAAACACGAATCAGATGTATAATCATGTACTGGTATAGAGTGCAAATTTTATATTTTGGCTGTCATAATATAAGTATGCCCCTTTTCTATACTCAAGGCAGTGACGGCCCGTTTAAACACCGTGGTCGCCAAGTGTAACCAAAAGCTACTAGTATATTTTCTATTAAGCTAACCATTATCAATGTTTTTCACCTTTGGCCAACTTTCACTCACCGGTTCCGAGCAAGCTTTTTTTTGGCCCCAAAAGTGTATCATGTAGTGCTTTATTAGTACTGTTCCTACACATGCGCTCTCCTACCTTGGCACTTGGTCGCTTCTCCCCAGGTTTGACCGGTAGTGACCCCTGTCTCCTCAACTTCTGCTCTGACTTCTTTCCGAACAACAAGGACCGGGATCTCTGGAGAAGAGAAACATATACAGTTCTTTGAAGGGTAAAACATCTCAAGCACAACGTAAATCCTTTCTCACCATCATTTAGATGTCCACGTCATTTGGTGCAATATGAAATAAAGCCAGTTGTTTTTTATTTGCAGTCTTTGCTTTGACCATGACGTAGAATAGAACCTCTGACCCTATAGACACCACATTCAAAACCAGCACTTAACCTACTGGACCAAAGATTCTGACGTCACATGTAATTCTTCTGCAGAATCGTCTCCACTATCACAGGTGCTTTGAGTAGCATAGTGCTGTTTTGGAGAAAGACCAGGAATCAAGAATCTTACCTTTTCTTTTATGCAAGAAACGACATGGCACTCAGGTTGCCTTTATTCTGAATTCTCAGCACAATTGTATAATGCAGTTAGATTCCTGCGATGAAATCCACTAATAACTCGACTCGCGTATCGCCAGGCACGTTCACTTCGCCGTGGCTGAGATCGGGCGTGACTCGGAAATATTTCCTGACTGTTCTAAGCACTTATTCAGGCGCTTCACGGAGCTTCAAGGTCTAACGGATCGTAAGGCATCTTTTATCACAGGCTGGAAGTTTTCAGCAGTCATGGTGCAGCATAACGTATGCCCAACATTACATAAGTAACAGACCACTGGAAGAATAGCTAAGCTAATTGCTAAACCTAAATATTGATCCAAACAAAGTCAAAGCTATATTGTAACGGTAAATATTTGCCGAACGAAACGAATGCGTTTCAGGAAAAAAATCTATATATTCGTCTGGTTTTCACCAACGAGGACTAAATCAAAAGGCATACTAAAGAACGATGATTTACATGTGCATATGCATATGCTCACAATATGGAAGGATATTAGAGTGAGTCTGACCAACACTGTATAAAGCGTGAGAAAATAATACATTGTACTAGCAACAACCACGTACGCTTTTACAACATAATTCAACCTGTTAATAAACATCAAATACCCCCCCCCCCCTTCCTGCACTTACAGTACTGTGACAGGCACTTGGGCTGAAACCGAAGCCTCATGAAGAGCGTTTGCTACAGACCATCATTAAAGAAGAATTGCATTCACGGTAAACCTTAATACATGCACCAAGGACAACTATAATTATGGTTTAGGTCACCGTACCTGAGCCTCCGCTTCTTCAAAGACTTTTACTACCAGATGTTTCGCCTTCCCAGATGTCGCTCTAACAGAAACAGGCACGGACTATCCTACCTGACGGAGCCTTCATACCAACACGCTGCCCGGAATAATTCATAGCACGCCACAGGAGAGTTAGAGGGTGGTCGGGGCAGACAAATGCCGCGTTCGCCGGCTGAAGTGTCTCCGTGAGACGAATAATTCTCCTCGTTCCTTTTCCCTAAATGTCTGTTTAAGATTCAGTCTACGTCTACAGTAGACATATGAGGTGCTTTTGCATAATCGATTCGGATCCAGAGTTGGTTCTACTCTCTCTCTCAATAGCTTTGCTCAAGAAAGACAACTTTATTTGATTTACCTACGAAAAGGACGAGAGCCCCAATATATAAAAGTAATGCTACTGTAGGTAAAGGAAATTTGTTCACACAATTCTATTCATATTTTCTACTTCCTGATAGCCTAAACGTTATCCGCGAGTATTTGTACCCATCTCTAAATGGTTTTAGATATGCAAGACTTCGTTGTAGTTCGGCTGGAGTTCAAGGGTAACTACAGAGATGTCTGACATTTTAAATGCGGCCCGCCGCTTTGACTTTGAAAGACGGTGACCATGGCAACGTTCCAGAAGCCCCAAACACCCTCCACTTGACCTTTAGATAGTTTGAACAAGACGTACATCGGTGCCTCTATCAAGTACACGGTGTAAACAGACATAAACAGGGTTGGACTGAAGAGTACTCTTTCAAAGTATCAATAAATCTATGGGAACTTGAATTACAGTTTTGTTTGGCAACAGCAGGCAGCACTAGCACCGTCACGAATATACGGAACTAGCGAAAAGTTTTTTTTTTATGAAAGACTTACTTTGGGATGAATATAGAAATGCTACGTAGAACTAGAACATTGAAATCTAGTTATGAATCTTTACATGTACACAAACGTGTCGTACCATATATAAGATAAGGTTATCGAATGCTCACCTTGGGCTTCTTTGTTCTCTCGTCTTTGGGATTCACATCATCAATGACAGGGACCTGGAACATAGGCATGTATGGGTAAGATACGTAATTTAAAAAAAACCTTTACTGTGAATTAAGTTGACATTTTCATCAAAAACAGTTATTCGAATCTGACTAATTATTAAAAACAATTGTGTAATAACCATATCGATCATAATAAGAGTATAATTCAAGTTTCCACTCACGCCAAAGTTAAAGTCCAGTCCTATCTCTTCATGACTGCGGACCTCCCGAGCCTCTGCCGCTAGTGTGGGGGACAGAGCCGCCAGACGCTCGTCCCACTACGGGGGGGGGGGGGGGGGGGAGGCGGCGTTAGAGGATATAATGTAAAACGCCGAGCATTTATTTCGTGCTCATCAGTTCTTTCTATACGTCTAATAAGAAAAGAAAGGTACTATTTCAAACATTAAAGCCTTGTTATACATACATTTTGTATACATAGTGTAAGTGTTAATATCACGAAGCTAAGGATCGGATGCCATGAATCAGTGAGTGCAGAATCAGGAAGACTTATTCCAGATAATTTCTGTTGATGAAAGGGGGTTGTACATTTTAAGAACAAGGACATATATCATCTCCTAGATACTAATTAAATGCCTCAATGGTATGATGCAAGCTTTTATCAACGGAAAGCTATCCACAACTTATGATGACTTTGTGCACATAGGGAGAAATTATATATGAAAAGAAACGTAATGGTATATATTTTCCTATACTGCCGATAGCTCAAATGTGATAGAAGCTCCTTGATCATCCATTATCAGATTAACAGATTTATCTGTAAACATCAAATACAGCATCATGATCAAGTAAAGCAACCTAAGAAATGGTTTAAAGCCATTTTATTCTGCCACAATTGGTCAATGATATCGGTTACAAACGTTTCTTTTGAAATATCAAAATGTTTTTACGGCTGAAGTACTCCATGCAATATTTATCAGTGGTTGATTACCGATGACAACAGTTCGGTCCCAGGGGGGACGACAAAGGCCAAAGTTCGCGGGACTGTTACGCTAAATTTCACCGCAATAATTGTGACAAGGTGTTGTCAAGGACGCAAAATATAGGCAGTCTACTGATGAAAATATTGTACATATTGCCATTGAGTCATCGTACAAGAAACAATATAGTGTGAGATGTCGTCTGGCTTAGCATTAATATTTGAAGCAACGTTTGAATTTAACTGTGTGTGTTCTTCTAACTTACTCTTTAAGTTGACGAAATTGTAATAGGAATTATGCCCGTCTATGATATTAGGGTTAAGAATTTTAATGTATAATGCAACTACATTTCAGTCGTGTAACAGAAATCAGAACTACATGCACAGCCAAGAAACGTGAGCCCGTTATTCTATACGCCCTTGTTTAAAACAACAGGTTTAGAACAACAGGTGTCTTCGCGCATGGCCTGGTTTAGAGAAACATTAGACTGCTGGCCTGCCGAGCAAAGAACACATCCGGATCGGCTGTTGCTTTAGCCACAATATAATGTAAGAGGGCGATCGTACCAAAAATTATGGCAGCATTATCTTGTCATATGTCATTTGAAGAATACATATTGTTTAAAAAATGTCGGCCTTTTGAGCAAAATATTTTTACTGTTTCTTAACAACCAAAGCTAGACAGACAGCTAGCGCTGGATTATGTTTATTTTGAGTTGCACTCAGGTATAGCCATATGTTCACAACAATATCAACGTGAAAAGAATTCGTAAATCTCAAGAATATTTAGTGAGAGAAATGATACCATCAGAAGAACTGTACTCAGACCATTAGCGCTTTAATTAACTATTGATGCGGTCATTCACCGTGTCTTTGTAATCAAATCCAGTTTGTTCAAGGAAAGGACAACACACATAAACCTACGTATGTATCTATGAAAAGACTCCACATTTCTTAGTGTTAACGGCTTTGTATCATTAAGTATTACGTTGTGTACGCAAAGCTAAAGGAATGTCCCTTGTTTTGCTGGCTACTACGTAACTGTGGTCAGTTATATCAACAGCAAACAGGTGTCCGCTCAAGAAAACAATGTTCCATTTTACGTCAGTGACTCTACATTTCATAATCTTCGCCCTCCTCTCAATTTAACATATTGGCAACTAACTGCCTCTGTTCTAGCGTCTTAAATGTACAGGTAACATTTGTCTGTAATATCGACTCACCTGGAATTCCTGCTCGCTGGCGATAGAGCTGGTATCTGTGGCGTTCCCAGAATCCTCTCGGTGTGACCTCCGACCCCGCCGGGTGGGGGAGTCCTCCTGAAAGGTGTGTCAAGGTCATGATCAACGTCATTGTGAAACTGATGACAAAAGGTTTCTGAAATTCGTGCTGTCCTCTAGAGACAGTTTTGACGTCACTTGATACTGTTATCGTATGTAGTTGCCCGGCAATATGTAGAACCCATGCAGTTGAATAGCCTGGCTTAAAAGCATTCGTGTGCTATTTTATAAACACTTTGTCCCAATTTGCCTGTTTGATAAACAAAAGATACACTCAGCTAGCCACGCCTAAATTCTAGATCTATGTATAGATGTATGCCTTTTTATTTGGAAATGGGCGTGGCGGCATCTATCAGAGATTCAAGATATTTGCATTGACTTGTTGACATTGTTTTGCAGGTCCTCGTCTTATACCACGAAGATACTATTTTGAATAAAATAACAGAAACTAAATACCCAAATATCAGACCATTTCTTGAACGTATAACACGGGTTTATGGTATCTTACAAGAAAATACAGTAACTACAAATTCCGTTAGGTGGCGCATGTAACTTCCCAATGGACATCTGATGTGTTGAATTCAGATTGGTTTCAGTATGTATCATTACGTCATCCTTAAACATTCTGAAAATCCACCCATGCATATCTTATTGAATGATATATACTGTCAACCAAAGAGCTAAGTTCTAAGCAAAGCCTTACGTAAACTAATCATGAAGTCCCATATGGTCTAGTGGTTAGGATTTGGCGCTCTCACCGCCAAGGCCCGGGTTCGATTCCCGGTGTGGGAAGAGTTTTTTGCTTGTGGAAAACGAGGCAAAAGTTTTAGGTTTGAAAGTGTGCCTACTGTTCTTGACGAAACTTGTCAAGTTTTAGGTTTGAAAGTGTGCCTACTGTTCTTGAAACTTGTCAAGTTTTAGGTTTGAAAGTGTGCCTACTGTTCTTGAAACTTGTCAAGTTTTAGGTTTGAAAGTGTCACTGTGCCTACTGTTCTTGAAACTTGTCAAGTTTTAGGTTTGAAAGTGTGCCTACTGTTCTTGAAACTTGTCAAGTTTTAGGTTTGAAAGTGTGTCTACTGTTCTTGAAACTTGTCAAGAAGAGTAAGCCTACCATTTTAGTCAACTCATATAAACATATATAGCGTGTTCATATCTTCTAGATCTCTCTCATCACTTATTGACCAAAGTCACTGCAAAATGATGGTAAAACTCGTACTACACTTTAATATGTGTTTGCCATGCTTACATCACGAAAAGACCCTACCAAAAGTTGTTTCCAGACTGATCAAATCTTGACTAGAAAAGAGTTACTAGTAATTATAAGGGACAGGTCAGAATTTATGGATGGGGCGATGGAAAATAGCTTAGTGTGCATGCGTGGTTCTATCAAAAAATAACGAAATACGCAAAAAAGTCGAAATAAATGTACAGGAAACCGTAAAAATAATTCACTAGCTGTATGTTGGCCTGAAAGTGGAAACTTTTTCACAAAAACATTTCACCATCCCTTGTCATTTCTGAACCGTCCCTAATAACTACCCTGAGGCCAATACAAGTTTCCCACGACCACAGGTCGGACTATCGGAAGTCAATCTACTTTATTGTCGAATGTCCACAATGAAAAGAAAAAGAAAGCTTATACATACATACGCGTCAATTTGAGAATCACCACTCAACAAGGACTAACAGGATCCCTGATAAAAATGCCAGATGCAACACTCAAATCCCGAAATTGGCGTTTAAACTTTCCTTTACGAGAAGACGACCACTCTAATTGTAGATCTGGTCTGTGTGAGCTTAGGTCTGAAATGTACTGCGGCTTTAATGTCACTGAACATATACTAAGGTCTAACTGCGCAACGACTAAAGTGGATAATGATAATGAGCAAGTTTCAAAGATTTTCCCATGCTGTAAATGCTAACTCCATATTGGATACTTGTGTCTGTGTGAGATTAAGTCTACAATACGTACTTGGCGTTTTTATAATGCCAGTGAACATATTAAGCAAGAAATAATCAGTGTAAAGTAAAGTAACAACAAAAGAAAATGAAAGTAACTAGTATTTTCTCATGCTAGATACGCCAACTCCGTTTGTGCTCACTAAGTCTCCATCTCATAGTGAAATGTCAGGAGTTATGACAGCTAAGAACATAATCTGCTGGTTTCTTTTGTTATGTCGTCGGTTGATTTTGTAAATGAGAATTAGTTGTACTTACCGGTGCGCTGGTTGAACTGTGTTCTGAAAATATAAAAAAGGCAAGACAATTTTTTTTTCATTCATACGCTTTTGAAACGTTCACTAAATGTGATTATATGTTTGTGAATTTTTCAAAGATACTAGATGAAGTTTAAATCTTGATTTCTTTGGAAAAGAATGTAATATGGGATGAGACAATATATTCGACAGTCTTTGGTACAATTTCTGATACTTACTAGTATTACTAATAATAGGTACTTTTTAATATGTACTGTCCTATATTTACAATGCATGTATTATCACTTTCTTAAGGAAAAACGGAGGTCCTGTACCTTCCATCAAAGATGAAGCTATGGACACATCAGAGATAGAAGATGTCCGTTTCCGCCTGTAGTGTGGTCCTAGCCAATGGACGGGCTGCAGCCCCTGCCCAGGGTAGTCTGGGTCAAACACGTTCCCAGGGTCCATATACTCTAGAGCTGCCGTATTCACGGATCCTGTGGGTAAATTTTATATCAGTTTTTCATACATTCTTGATGCTTTTGACGAGGCAACTAAAATGTTTATGGTTATCGTTATACACCTACAGTTAGATGATGTAGTAGGCAAACAAATGGTATATTATTTCTTCGAACTTTCAATTGGCCATTTTCGTAACTTGAGCATGGGATGACTCTTCCTATGTATCCGTCCGTCCCACTGTGATAGTGTGGTACAGTAAGTGGCTCCTTACCCAGAGACACGGTGTCGAAGTCAGGATCCGACCCGCCCGGTCCCGGTCCCTGTCCCTGTGCGAGCTGTTCTGTCTCGATCTGCAACATGGCGATCTCTTTCCTGGGACAAAAATAAAGAGCCTTGTATAACCTTGTGAAAAAGTGGCCTTACTTTGGTACAAACTACAGCCTACCAAAACTTCTTCCGTCAATTTAACAACCCATTCATTATCCTTGTATACGTAGCTTCAAGGGCTGACAAAATGGTAGAAATTGGTTAAATGGAAATGATATTATTGGACAAATTGAACTCTAATAGCCGCCCAACTCTTCTAGCAAAATAGTTTCCAAATTCTGGCAAATATCTACTTTTTCCACTCCGCAGAAAGGGTTGGCAGAGACTTCTTCTACCTTTCAATCGCCAGTACCAAACTGTCTCCCCCATCTGCCGTACGTACCTGAGATCCACCAGCTGTTTCCTCTTCAGCAGCCGGTCTCTCTGATGCTGCAGGATGGTGATCTCCCGGTCCAACTCCGCCTCCTCAGGACTGGTCTTCCCGCCTTTCTTCTTCCCGCGCAACATCCTCACACTTCTGGAAAGTCGTGGATACACTACATTAGATTCAGATTTTATTTCCAATGACATAGCAGGTCATACACGAATAATATCAATATTACCTGAACTGATGCGGCATTGCATTTGTTAAAATCCAAGTATACACCACTTCATAACACATTATAAAATAGAATCCTAAATGCCAGAGTAATATCCTTTTCTGTATATTTTTCAATACAGTAGTACTAGATAGAGTTCTTGTATAATATTAGACAAGTTAAAACTTGTGTAAGTCCGCATGCAGCTGAATCTGCTAACAAATAACAGCATATATGTAACTTTTTTTCATCATTACCATCATCAACATCATCAATATCATCATCATCATCATCATTGTCATCATCATAACATCACAACCACCATCACGTCATCATCATCACTATAATGGCTACCATTAATTATCATCATCACCCTTCGACAGTAGGTTGGGAAGTACTTAGAAACTTCTTAACAGCCTTTACTCAAGCTTGTTAAAATTCCAACGACGAAGAAATACCACGTGCACCAGGCCAATGGCCGGGCCCACTAGCCTCTATACCCAGGTCAATTTAAGTACAACACCCCTACTGCTGTGTCATTGTGTGCCACATTCTGGTCCATACTTGGACAGATAAATCAGGATTTGTTGTTCCAAAGGGGAAGGCTTCTTGAGAACAATACCGTCCCAACCCCTCCATGTGCAGGGCATAAAATATTCATTGCTCGTGTCACCTTTAATTGTAAAACTGTCATGATATGTACAAGTTATCGGTGGCATTGCACGCATTCACACACTGAGAAAATATCTACACTGTACTAGATGAATACAAAATCAATGGCTACAACCATGGAAATTTGAAAAACCTCTGACCTCGACGTGCCAGAATGTTCAGCACAGACATGAACGTGGGCATCGAATTCGCAAAGGAAGAAGAAGAAAAAATCCGGAACTTATACAGAGACATTTATACAATGTCCTTCATGTAAGTTAATCAATGAGAAAATGAAGTCAAGGGATCAACAATGTACTTTTCTAGGGACCAAAATCAGTACCCATAGTCCATGAGGCGCCAACTTAAAATGGTTCCAAGTGGGTCAATTGTGTTACTTTAGATGCAGGTATTTGTGTTCCAAAGCACCGTGTCCTTCACTGATACATAAGTGATGTACACAATTAGGTTACAATTGGTTCGTGGCACCAGTGTAGATAGTCTATGAACGTCAGTATTATACAGTTAAGGTATTATCATAGACAAGACAATGACAATGACGTCTATTGTTTGTCGCTTTTGTGCAATTTTCGTCAATCAATCAAATCTTTTAATTTTTTTTCAAATCTAAATCTAGTTTTGTAATAAACTGGTGAGGACTAGGGTAAGCCAGCCACGTTCCTGATACTGCTGTAGTCAACGTGAAGAAAGAATATCCCTTTCTTAAACCTTACATCTTCAGATGTACGCCCTAAGGCGCGCGCTGCTTTAAAAGTACAGCCAAACCTTCACATGAACACATTCCTGGCCTACACAATGGAGGGATCAGACGGGATAGTACGGTTCTTAACGTGGACGAGTGTTTGAACAAAGACCAGTTTGAATAACCTAAAGAACGTTTGATCTTCAATGAAATAACGACTACCATGTACATAAAGTCTTTTTCAGTGCCGTTTACATGAATGGCTTTTGAATGAATGAATGAATGAATGAATGAATGAATGAATTGTTTGTTATGAAAGTATATCTCGTCGCTTACCGGCTGAGTGACATCTTAATGATAACATTATATGCTAACGAGTAATCATTATACATAGAAAAATAAGATAAAAAGATGAGATAAAACATTCGAAAGCACATCCTCAAAATTCCAAATATAGCGTTGTTATATATAAGTACTGAAGTGTCTTTTGGGGTTCTAAGCCATGTTCCCATGTCATTGGTTCACTGAACTATAAGAAGCCATTTTTTGACGTCATTAGCTAGTAAAATCTAGGTGTCTTTCCTGTGACCTTTCTCACGACCTTCGTGTAGTAATTTTAGCACTGAATGGAAATTATTAGTTAGACTGCATGTAACACAACATTCGAAACACCTAATACTCGATGCGCACGAAATTCAACATTGCAGTGTTTACTAAACATAGTCTATGGTGTTGTTTTCTTGTCTTTTGTTATAAACAGATATACTACCAAAAGATCTTTACTGTGCCAAATGACTTTTTTCTCTGAATTCAAAGATGCCAATAATCATAGGAACCACTAGTTGTATACTATACAGACAGGTTTCAGTCAGATATCCGCTTGTCCCAAAAGTAGAACGACACTGGCCCGAAGCCACTGCAAAGGTGCAATCAATGGTTACAGCAGACAAATCCTCGGGTCTACTTTCACCGTTGTGTAACTCTATCCACGGTAAAGCTACCGTATCGCCTCATAAACACAGACTAAAATGTCTTACCTCTCTTGTACTGTCGTCTGAAAATGACGTCACCTATTAACGTTGCCTTAGAAACGTGTATCCATGTACAAATCACTCGGAAAATTCCCCTCAGTTTGTTGATATCCGACACGATTGATGATCCGGTGTCTGTTGTCAAATCACGAAGCCCCGATACGGGACAGTCACTTGTTTATCGCTGGAGTTGTCTTGATAATACGATGGATCGCATCTATAAACTCGGTGCTACGGTAAGAAATCTTCCCGACACGGAAAATATCTTTTCTGTCAGACCGTTCACGTTTTAGATCATCTGAGGTGAAAATTCGTCCCAAGTCGTCTGCCAGTCGCCCCTGACCACCGGCGCTCGTCCCCAGGACACTGGGCTGAATCTCTACCGCGCAGAATCCAGTCGGCTCAGTCGGGTGGGTGACCCCTTCAGACTGACAGAACAGGTTGGACGGGTGGGGGTCACCCCGAGGTATCACAAAGTGTGAGGAGGGCCACACACACATGCGTCACTTCTGACGGAGCTGTACGTGGGAACACCCCTGTCTATTTAGGTACTTTCGTAGACTCCGATTGGCTCCTAATTTGCTGGGAAATATAGACGGAATAACTTGCCACAGTGGGTTGCAAGGCGTTACTCTAGCTCTTACAATTTATGCAGCTTATAATTACTACTATTAGCAACCAACATGTCTGGTAGAGGGTAGCAATTTCGACCCCAATGGGCAAGATGGCATGGTTTCATTAGATTTGGAGCAACTGGAAAAATAGTGGTTTCGTCTGCTGTTACAAAATATACACTTTTGGATAAAATTACGATCTAAAGTCGTCAAATTGTTTTGCGACCATGGCTGCTGATATTCGTCCAGCACATGATGCATGTGTTTGGATGGATAAGAAAACAAATTATATAATAGTAAAAAGGAAAACCTAGTTAAACAGAATCACGGTACTGGTATTTCCGACCTTTAAGCATGGTCCCATGGGTCACAGACATAAAGAAATATTCCGTGACTGGTACCATAACCTCATTCGTGTAACGTTCTTATTGTCTGAAATAGCACTAATCCATTGTGTCATTATGTATGAATACGTTGTATTGTATTATCATATTCCAACAATCACCAATGTCTGCCTTTTGTTTATATATAACGTTATTTACAACATAGAATACTAGTACGGTCATCAACGAAAACTTTCATACTGGAATGAACTGGCATTTCATGTAGGTTAACCACATCTATTGTGAAAGGGATTATATATGCGTAATTTTAGGAGCTAGCTGGCTATATGGTATGTGAAAAGTGTGACTTTGAATTCGGAGGCAAGACATTAGAGCGCGACTGTCTCCTGTCAATGTTGAACATATAAAGCGTCACATTGCGGCTAAATGTAGAACTGCATGCCATAAATGTAGAGCTGAATACAAAATGAACAAAGCCGACTCATACAGGTATCAAATTTTGTAATAAAACATACTTTTCATAGTTATCACATGAAGAGTGTGTTCATCATTTCATAAATAGCTTACAGAGATAGGGATAAACCAGAAATAATCGTGAGGGGTGGAGAAAATGGCGGCAGAATCTGTTTTCATTTCGACATGTTTTTTGGTGACGACTTAGGGGCGAAGCCAGTTAATGCCTTATCTATTTGCTGTCGTCCTCTATCGCAATAGGAACATTCTCAAGTTATTTTTCCATACCCCAAAAGTACTTGCTCGTTCCAAACTCAGTACTTTTTACAAGAGAAGTCATAAAAAAACACAAAAAGATCAACAAATTGATGAAAGTCAATGCATTAGTTACATATGTAAATACTACAAAAGGTATGATTGTAACTAGTAAGCACTATCATATCATATCAAAATAACAAAACATAACCGCATGTTGAGAACCATAGTAGTAAAATAGCGATGATGTACACAATTAACTCTTAAATGTTAAGAGGATTCTCCAATTAATAACATTGTGTAAGGATTTGACAACTTCGAGACAATTGACTCATAGGAGGTAGTTGAGAAATATTAGAATTGCTGTTGATAATGGTGTTAGAGTCTGACCGTTACAGTTTATATAGCTACTTGTGTTGATGTTTCACTCCGGCTTGTTTGATAAAGTCTGCCAGGCTGACCGCACCCTCCGGACTTTGCGGGGGATTTCTTCCGTAATCCGGAACAACCACGTGGTTTCTCTGGACAGGCTCAGAACTTGTCCTTCGTGCACCGCTTTGGATTACTAAGGGGGCAGGGAGTGCGGAGGGGTGAGGGGGAGGCGGTGGGGGAGGAGGGGGTGTGCCAGCAGACGCCGCGGGGACTCCGGTTCTTGAGCGTACGGACCCGGACGGTTGGGTGAAGTCGAACAGTGCCGTTTGGCCGGGCGATGTTGGACTGGTGGGGTCAGACTTCTTGCCGTGGCGGGGAGGGGCGACCGGGGACCCCCCGACGTCCTTGTGCGACCGGACAGACGACATCGTCCCCGTCCGAGGCTGGTGACCCAGGTCGCTGAAGCGTCTCACAGACGAAGTCGTGGATCGGACCGAGCCATGGCGGGAAGAGGAACCCTCCTTCTTCTCTTTCCTCCTTCGGAGAAATTCTTCCTTCTGCTTGGAATGGGCACTTGAACTGGTCTCTGGTGACGTCACAGTTTCCCCTGACCTTGACCCCTCCGGAGGGAACACTTCCGGGGCCATATCCGGCGGTGCTCCGCGAAGGGTGTCCATGCCGACAAGGTCGAAAGGAGGCGGGTTTCTGAAGACAGGGGTATCGCGATCAGGAGCAGGAGGAGGGGGTTCCGTACGACTTGACGTGCTGGATCTAGATGCCCTGGAATTCTTCCGCTGGACTGTTATACCTGTAATATTCAAATGGGAATATTCAACTTATGAGCGTAATTTAACAAAGAAACAGATATCTTGGCATGATCGGAGCACAAAAGTTAAATGGTACACAATTAAAAACTTAAATTTACAGAAGTTGAAAGTCACCGCTGTGTGATTCCGTCACCTTACCTGCCTATCAGGAATGTTCTTACAAACCTGGTGGGTTCTTGAACTCAGGTGTGACATCAGGGGTGGTCCTGGGAGGAGTCTTGGGCTCTCTGTTGGACCTTTCTATGTCCGGGGAGGGTTTCTTGTTGTAGACCACTGTGTTTGTCTCCCCCTGGCGCCTCGACTCTGAACTGGAGTACCGTCTGGACTCCCTCCTCTGCCCCTGAGATGCTGACCGGTGCAGCTGAGGCGGTGGAGGCGGCTGGGACGAGTCCGCCTCCATCTGTAGCCTCGCCACCTCGTGTCGTAACTCCAGAACCTTCTTCTTCTTCATCAGTTTCTCCCGCTCTCTCTGCAGGGCGGTCAGCTCGGCCTCGACTTGTTCATCGTTCATGAGGAAGGGAAACGGCCTTCCACCTAGAGGCCCAATTTCTTTCTTGCTTTTGCGACTCATTTTGAAGAACAACTAACGTTTTTATAGAACTCAGGTGACAGGCCTGTCGGGGGATCGGAAACGCCCTCAATTGTGCAAGGTACCCGACAACTATTATAGCCTGGTTGATGAATGAATGAAAAGCACGTACACGCACTGTTCAATGGAAACTGTCAGCGAAGACCGCAACGACAACAATGTCTTCGACCTGAAATGAATTTGAAACGATTGAACACAGAGCCGTCTAGTCATTCGTCCTTGTAAGCACCTTGGCTGAGGTGCAATATTAAATCATATTGTACAGGTCTCAGGTGTTGTTGTTGTTGTTGTCTGAAATGGCAGAGGACCCACTAATCATTAAAAAACTGGCAAGACCGCACGAAATTGACTGAACGTATCTTTCCGTAAGATGACTATATTTGTGGTAACAGGATTACTATGACTTTGTTGAGGGCTGCCGCAGGTTTTGTTGTGAGAGAATAAACATGTAATCTGTAGTCCTCACACCTCTGAGACACAAATCCGTGTAGTCAGAATTACACGTACAGTTCCGAGAATCAACAGCTGTGACTATGAAGTGAGAAGTCGCTTGTTCAGGTTCGAAGATCGTCGCAACGTTCTTGTTTTGGAGAAGGAATATTCTCAATATCTCATATAGCTCCGTTTCTACATTAACAACTAGACTGGTTACGTAGATTCTGAAGACAAACCCTGTAGTGTGGTTACTCCTCGTTACGTACATGTATCGGCGAACTCAACTTGTGCTGAGGGTGGTGGGCACAGTTTCCGTCCAACGATTGCTTCAGATCAACGGCAGACAGAAGTGTGTAGCCTTCTTGAAAGCGTGGAGCCCGATTCGGCCTGTAACAGGAAGGTTATGTGAGGTAATTTTAGGCAAAATGAATCCTGAGTGCTGGCGATGATAGCTGTTTTCCCCACTCAATAGAACAGACCTCCTAATGTCAAGGCATTAGTCAGATCAAAGCGCCCTCAGGTAATGTTTGTTGTCTTCATATCGCCATACCAAGAACCCCGCCCGTTTCAATCGTGCCAAACAGCCCACAGCACTTGATGTATATATCCTCCTTTTGTACGTCTTTCAACTGACTATACACCACGTTGTCGTCGAGGTTTTAAGCGGGCGCCTGGCACAACAGAATAAAGGCTGGTGTCTTCCTCACCACTGCGCGATTTTCAGGGATTGACCGATGTTTGCAGGTCACCGAGCCCGGTCCAACGTGAGAATAGATTCCCAGGTAAACTTTGAAAAAAAACAAAAAAAACGCAGTTCTCTGGTGCTTCCGAGTCGATTCGGCGACGTACTGGCGATCAACTTCGACCGAATTCGTCGACGGCTTGGCGACCACTTTACCTCGACGCTGTAGGGACGTGCATTGGAAGCGCGTCAGAGCGTGACGCAAACGGGACAGGGACAGTACGTAACGTCGGTCCGTCAGTGACCGGGCGACATTCCGGGCGTGACAGACATATCAGCACGGGTCAGCAGGCATTTACCCTGGGGGACAGCCTCTCATGTGGGAATATCTGCATGTTGCTAGGTAAATGTGGGAAACATGCTATTAAGGTCTGAGTGGCGGGTCATTCTGTTAAATGTCCTTCACACACAGACGGGTTTTGTGTTCCGTTTCCACACGTCAGAGCATTTTATTTACACTTGAGTGGGTTCGAAAGTGTTCAATACAACAGTCATTAAATCCTACACAGGGCAATTCGACTACATACCATCTACATACACCTGTTCTTGTACATCCGTTTTAATTGGCCATATGTTTACATGTGGGCTGAAACTTCAAAAGGGAACTTTTACATGGTCACAAAAATTGCCATGAACTGCATGTAGAAACATTTCAACAAATTTTGGTCTAATAATTGCCTGTGCTTGATGTATCCATAATGGTGGATTCTGGGTTAAATAGTCTTAGTTGTAGCTTATATGTATCAACAAAGAATGCCAGCTGGGAGGTCTGGAAGTGTTTAATTAAGAATCAGGATGTTAAAGACTATGATATAACACAAGAACATTCATCAAAACCACATTTCCTGCTGAAATAAGGAAAGCATCAACTACCATCACCCCAGATTTGTGGTTTCTTCTACATTTCAGGACATGGGAGTCTTTTATTAGCAGGTATAATTACCCTTAATTATACACGACGAAAATTACCCCGAGATACTAGTACACAAGGTCTACCATTTTATCACTACAGCATGCTAGGTTTTGCAGCAATACTTCATACAGCAATACAGTTTGTAATTAAAATAACAATGGTGTAGAACAATAAAAACGGTAATGTACATATTATCTTGTAAACAGCTGTAATTGTAAGAACACAGACTGTACTTAATACTATGGACAGTTCCATGTGAACTTTGACCCAGTTACAGGTAGAAAGGAATAATCTATACATGCAGTGTAAATTAAGTTTGTAGCACTAAATTTTTCAAATTTTTAAACAAAAATCTTAAGACTTAAAAAACTTTACTGTATCTTTATTTTGCAGTTGAAACAGTAGTTTTAGTAGAACAGAACATAATGTTTGTGGTGTAATGAGCTTTTTTTTACACATCAATATTGCTCTAAAATAATTCTGTATGCAGAACGGAATACATGTAAGAATGGGATGGATGCCGCAAACATAATATGAAGATGTCCAGTAGTTCCAAGGTTTGAAGGGTGATACAGACAGACTTCATGTTGACTGGGACCTCTCAAACTGTATGACAAGTTCGGAGTGCCAGGTGTGAGGGAACAGGTCCACAGGCACGGCTCGCACGGGACGGAACGCTGCGCCCTTAAACTTGTTAGACGTCGGTCGACACAAGCTGGGGAGAAAACAGGCCTAGGTCATCACCATGGTTACATACATGTAATAAACATGTTAAACACTTGTGAGAACATCTTCAAAATTTCTGTAAAAAAACTTTAAACCAATGACCAATTTTCACGGTATAATGTTTCAGTTCATCTTATTCTCCCACTTTTTCCCACATTGAGAATATCTATCACAAAATCCTATCTCCAAAAGTGTCTAATACATAACTTACTGTTATGTAGTACAATGCTCAGGTACAAAGACATAGATACTCACTCGATAAAGTTTGGCATGGCACTCTGGGAGTTACAGGATACATACACCAGCTTAGTCAGGTTGGAACACTTCCTAAGGACAGATATAACCCTGGAATCTGGAAAAATATAGAAGAGACAATTGTCTAACAAGTAACAACTTCGTCAGAACAACGATTGTAGAAATGGATAAAACTGCAAATCTAGTATACTCAACACACAATACACCAATCTTGTTCTGTGTTTAATCAGAGCACATCAGCTAGGACTAATGTAGAACTAAATCAGCTCATTACCCTCTACAGAAAAAGATATGTGAGCAGCATGTCAGTACTCACGTAGCCCTGCTCTAGGCGGGTCTACCACTGCTACCAGCTCTGTATTGTACAGCCTCCTGACCAGGTCTGGCAGGATGTCTTCTGCCTTTCCACACAGGAACTCTGCATTCTCTATACCTGTAACAAACAACAACAACATAGCTTAACAGACAACTACACCACAGTATGTTATAATTCATATAATATAATGCTAATACACAGGAGGACTCAACCAGAACTCCCCTCATATTTTAGAAACGTCAAACAATAGTCAACCAGTGCCAGAGTATTTTTCAGAGAAGTGAAGAGTGGACTGGAGCAAAGAGTGAAACAGAATGGTATCCATGCTATGAAGCAGTACTACAGGAATGGTATGGTGGACGTGGTCTTACCGTTGATGTTGGCGTTCACCTTGGCATCCTCCACTGCCTGCTGACACAGTTCTACACCTATCACCTTCTTCACATGCTGGAACAACAGGGGCCGGGGGACACATTTAGTCACATCAAACACTGGAAATAAAACAATAAAAGTAAGAATTTCTAGTTACGGGTACATTGAAAGGACTTCTTACCTTTGCCAGGGTGAGTCCAATAGTGCCTGTACCACAGCACACATCCAGAACAGTGGAGTTCTCTGTGAAGTCACACCAGTCTGCTACAGTAGAGTACAGGACCTCTGCTGCCAGGGTGTTCACTAACAAGGAGGAAAGTAAGGTCACAACTGCTGTCCAGCTGCACAAGGTCTACTCTTCTGAACATTTCTTTATTTTCTTATTATGCCACTATAATTATAGTTTCTAGATCATTCAGTTACTGTTGACTGACATAAAAAAAGACAGAATATATGTTAGCTGATGTGGAGGGTTCAGCTGATGTGATGAATGTTGAAATGTACATCAAGCCTAGCAAACTTATTAAGATAGAACATCGCTGCTTACCTTGAAAAAATGCATCTGGAGAAATTCTGAAGGTCATATCCAACAACTTCTCCTGAATGAACTGAAGTGAAACCAAATATTGATACAAAACATGTCATCAATTCATACTTTTGCATAATGTATTAGGTATATGATAAATTGAGATGGACCACAGAGTTATATAAATAAGATGTTCTATAATCATCATGGTTTTACCTCTTTCCCTAAGATGAGTTGATATGATGGTTCTTCATCTCCAGGTCTCCTACAAAAATAGAATAATTTTAGGAAATTATTTCTTTATTGTTCCAGATAAGATAAAAAAGCAGAGTTTTAAAGCAGGACTATCTTGGTCCATTCTCACAATCACGTGCCTATATGCCGAACTTCAGTGTGATACCAGTGCCCATCCTTACCTCTGTTTACATGCTTGGAAGAACAGTGATGTGATACCATAGTCCTTCCCTGGCCCTGTGCTGAAGTAGTCTTGTAGAAGCTGCTTCTCCTTCTCAATCTCCTCCTAAAGGCATTTGTTAATCAAATAGTCAGCTTATACATTCATTCTAAAATTTGACACAAAAGAAGGATTTTTTTCACTATATTGAGGAAACACACATTAAAACAATGCAAAGTTGCTGAAGTTTAAAATGAATTTGTTCCTGACCTCTGAAAGGTCCTGTACATTGAACTGCAGCATGACCATGACCTCTGACCCCTGGGTGGTCCTGACAGTCAGCTGTTTCCAGTGACCTTGGTGCTTCTCTGTGTCGTAACCGCTCCTAGTGGACTGTTCCAAATAGGTCTGGAAAATCTGAAGAAAGGGGGTATCAAATTAACTATCCTTTTGGCATTAGGAAGAGCATCCAGCCATAAAAAAATCTAGCTTCAAAAAAGTTCAAAAGAAAGGTACATGTAGCCAGCCCAAGGTCTCATGTCTCAGTACGTACCCTGACCATGTCCTTGGCTGTCTCTGGGACATTGGGGCAGTTATAGGGACTGGCAACTGTGCAGCTGCCACCTAGAACAACAGTAGAGTATTTAGTTTATTTTACATTTAATGAACTTTCCATGTATGTTAACTACATGTACATGTATGTTACGGTTGACTACAAACTGCATGAAGCTAAAATTGTCTCTCCAGTTTTCAGGTATGAAGAAGTAATGTTTTCTACTATAATTGATGGTGTCCATCAATCAGAGCACCAGTACTGGAATGCAGGACAGTGTGTCCTCCTGTAAGGTGACATGGCGACCTTGTGGTTAGGGTCGTTGACTCTGAATTCAAATGTTCTTGGTTTGAATCCCTACATAACAACTCACCTTTATATCTTCCCAGTCTGAACCCAATGGTTTTCTCTGCAGAAAGAAAATTATGTAAAAGTTACAGATTGCATTATTCTATAGGCTTAGAGCTGTTAACAAATCAAATATCAACAGAAATATGTCCTTTATTTCAAGAAATGGACAGAATCACAGTTTTAGCTTATGATCCATGGACAAATATGTACAAAAATAATTTTCAAGTTGCTTGAATTTCTTTTTAATTCTGTTCCTTATATGCCAAGTTTACCCTACACAGTGGACCACAGTGTACCATATCTTGAGAAAAAAAGACAATGGAAATCTTACCTTTTCCCTCTGGGCTGATTCCTATGTTGAACTCATTCTTGTTCCTGTAGTTGTTCAGGATGGGCTGAACAGGACAAAAAATGGATACAGAACATTAATACAATCTGTGACTAAGAGCAAGCCAAATCTGAAAGGGAACATTACAGTGTAATGTTTCTTTTGATAGCTGACCGCTACATTGCCAAACACACGAGGTCTGTCATAAAATAGCTTATAACAGGATTTTTAACTTCTTTCTACATGTTAGCACTTACCGAAGGTGTGATGTTTTCCAGCTTACAACACATGTTGTCATACTGTTTTCTGGGAGAAAATACAGGAAGTACATAAGTCATCAGATCTTACCTCTGTCATTAATTCACAATGCAATAATTCCATTTCATAGACTCAATTTAGAGCAGTCCACTTATGGTCCACTTATATTTTGGTGATATCAATAAATGAACGCCAGGCATGAATAAAGAAACTGGCTGCTTTTCTGCACAATCCTATGATGCATTAAGGACACATTTTCATTTCCTGAACATAATCATGCATTGCCGTGGGGTTGATTCAACAAAAATAACAGGAAATCGACTCTTACAATCTTACAATTAGCACCTTGACACACACTTGACATTGCTTCCTTTCTCACCTCTGCTGTATAACCCATGACCCCAGGCCAGGGTTGGCATTCTCGATGGCTCGGCTGAGTTTGCCCAGAACAGTCTTCTGACTCTCAGTTTTGTCCTTCAGCTGTTCTTCATATGGTACGTTCCACAGGGGGGTCACCGCTAGCAGGAGTCTGTAGGGGAAATAAATTACTAGTACAATGTATACTGATATTTTGTTCTGATTCAACAAATTTACTACACCCAACACAATAATTTCGGAAACTTAAAAATTTGATTAAACAGATGTCTGTTATTGCTGCAACAGTGGAAACTTTATCTATTATTCTCCACAATAATACCATATATGATCAAGGAAAATTTCAGCATTTTTTTCCTGACCTAATGACACCAGTAGCCCAGCATCCTGGTAATCAACCCACGAATGCACAATCAATACAAAGGTTGACAATGATGTATAATAAAACGCAGGTTATAAAGTATTCATATGTTATGCTCAGACCACCTTATATGCATAACAAGCTGTTGCCATTTATCTTTTGCCATAAACAAAAACCTACAATAATAATTTCCAACGTTGCTCTCACCTATCTTCAACAGACAAGCCTTCATCATCCTCATCATTTCCCCTGGACCTTTTCTGGCTGTTTCCAGCTCCAGACTCTAAAAAAAAACAGGTTGATGAGGGTTCAATGTTTGTTCCTGGTAACCACTGGGTACCCTTGGGCCACCACAGTATGAAAAGCTGGTAAAATTGAAGAAATTTAACTAACACAAGGCTTGGTAACACTTTTTTTATGTTGCAGTCTTAGTAAAACAAAAAGGGTGCACAGTAAAATTACAAGAGTTGGCATTACCTGGTCTAGTAGAATATGAGCAAGACTTTATACATGATGAAGAACTATGATTACCTTCTCTTTCTTTCCTCTTCTTCACCAGTGGGTCAGCTGCTGGGTTGCTTTTCTACAGATAAAAGATATGGAGTAAATGATCATAGTAATAAAGCCAATACATGTACAGTGTAATGAACAGTTACACCACATTCTTCCCTGTGGTACATGTACATGTACATACTTTTCCCTTCAGACCTGTCTTCCCAATTTGTGAGCTAGACAGATTTTGCCAATACTTTTGTGTCTAAAGACAACAAGTTAACCAGTCACTGACCGAGGCTGACAGTGAACATCCTTTCCATACGTGGGAGTTTAACACCTCCAAGGCCTTCTGTCTGTCCTCCTCACATCTGGGAATAAAACAAAAAGAGTAGTTTCATCAGGTTGGTATATATCAAAGTTCTTTTGACATAACAGTCACATTTGAGACTGTATTATTCTCACCATAGCACCATCTGACAGTAAGTTGGTTGACACTACTGCCCTTAAGATTGTGTCTGTCACTATAAGTATGAGTTGGATATTCACACATAGATATATTGTTGTTGATTGAAACTTACCTAAAGGCTACAAATGCAATGTTGTCTCTTTGGATGATCTTGACCTTGTGTGGCGTCAGTCCTTGGTTCACCATACGCTTCCTGAATTGCTGAGAAAAATTAAAGGAAACATGTTTATTTGTATATCATATATCTTATAGTTTTCCCATACACCAGTGTTACATTCCCTGCAAAAAGTACAAATTCATCTAGTGATGATCATACTTGAAGAAGTACTATGAAATGTACTTAAATTTTGTCCGTGGCCAGTAAACAGTTAGTTTGAGGTATCCTTCAGCTTGTGGTTGAAGCAATAGAAGTCAATCAAAGACAACTTTTTACAGATGAAACCTCATATAACCTCCTTGCTCAAACTTTAATAGTGCAAATATCTAAAGATAAGTACTCACCGCAAAGCCAGCATACCTGGGCAGATTCCTCACTTCTATCTTGAAGTTCTCAGTTGTATACTTCCCATCTTTTGCATAAGCATATGGGTCCAGGTCACCTGATGCACTTGACCTTTCACCTTCTCCTCCCTCTTTCTTTGGAACCTGGTTTCCATGGCAACTGACAGCAGCACTTTCATTGGTTGTCACATTATCTACGGAGTCGTCTTTTTCCTTACAAGTTCCCGCATCTTTCATCTCATTGCTTGAGTCGGGATCATCGCAGATATTTGCTTTGTTTGTATTTTCTTCCTCTTCCTGATTTTTCTGGAGTAATGTTTGATCTTCTGAGATGGTCCCTTCACCAGAAACTGTCTCACTTGGTAGGTCTGATCCCACTGTTGTATGTGTGTCTGTCATCTTTATTCATTCATATGATGCTGCGATTGGAATGAAATATCTGGACTGCTGCTTGTGTCGCAGATGTAGCTGGCTGTCAATTTACACCTGCAATTCCAGAGAAATGTACTGAGATAAAATGTTTAGATTCGCAGCATTTATGTTATATATTTAGAATTAGTTAGGTGAAATGTTAGAGTGTATATTTGCTTTGTATATAGAAAATGTTGATACAAGACACATACAAGTGCAAATTATATGCAATATAGAACAAATAATTGTGGGTTTAATCTTGATGTTTAAGCTCCTTGTTATAATGAGTTTGTCACCACGTGCACGAAAACTGTGGACTTAAAACATCGCATGCTTTACTAACATGGCTGCAAACATTACTAACATGGCTGCAAGCTTTTCTCACTCAAAGAACCCAATCAGTTGTCCTTGATGGTGTGGCCTCTAAGCCCGCCAAGGTAGTGTCTGGAGTACCGCAAGGCACTGTTTTGGGTCCGCTTTTGTTTCTCCTTTATATCAATGATCTTCCGAGTGTTGTGACCTCTAGTGTGCGTTTGTTTGCCGATGACTGCCTGTTGTACCGGGTTATTGAAAAACCCTCAGATGCTCTTGATCTACAAAAAGATCTCGATGCACTGACCCGGTGGCAGGACACATGGCAAATGTCCTTCAACCCCTCAAAGTGCCACACACTTCATATTACTCGTAAGCGTAACCCGATTATTACACAATACCGTTTATGTTCAGAAAATCTTACTAGTGTTAAAACCCATCCATATCTTGGAGTCCAACTATCACAGGATATGAAATGGGACACACATATAAATTATGTCACTGGTAGAGCTAATAGGATACTGGCAGTCATCCGCCGTAACCTTTCGCACTGTCCTCTTCGTGTCAAATCTACATGCTACAGAACACTTGTACGCCCACACCTGGAGTACTGTGCGACTGTATGGGATCCCCACACCATCGGTGGTTCCCAGGCGTTGGAGCGAGTCCAACGAAGGGCGGCGCGAATGGCTGTTAGTGATTATGATTATGACTATACCAGCAGTGTTTCTGACATGCTAAAGCGCCTCCAGTGGCCGTTACTTGTTGACAGAAGGAGAACCGCTCGCTTGATATCTTTATATAAAATTGCTCATGGACATATTAATATTCAAATGGAACAATACCTCAAACCTGCCCATAGGCGTACCAGAGGAAGTCATGAATATAAGTATCAAGCAATACCTGCCAAAACAGACTGTTTTAGATTTTCTTTTTTTCCAAGAACGATAAATGAGTGGAACAAGTTACCGGGCCAGCTTGTAAAAGCCCAGACAGTGGAGGCCTTCAAGGCCGGGCTTCTGGCCGCGCAGCCATAGTCCGTCGCACCCCCCCCCCTCTCAGTGATACCCCAGTAGGGGTGGTTAGAGAGTACGCAAGAAGAAGAAGAAGAAGAAGCATGCAAAGTTATACGTAGTTCCACAGTGACGACTAGTTCATGAAAGTTTTTTCTGATCAGATGGTTACACGTTTAGGCTCCAGAACATAATACTGTTTAAACAAAAATGTATCACTATGTGGCGTTTGTTACAAAGATAGCATACTGTAACAAATCTTAATCAATTGCATACCTTTACCTGGTATCCTGGTAGCCAAGTTCTGCTTTATAAACGACAAAGGAAATTTTGGACCAAGCCGCATTTTTCTACATGGGCGCCGCCATCTTGGTCACGCGGAGCATGATGGGAAAATTAGCCTCACTTTCGACAAGACAGAGAGCGGGAAACTAGCCATCGTTATCTGTGTGGGATCCATTGTTCCATCCAGACTAATCCGCTCGTTTCTGATCGCTCTAGGACCATCAAATCTCGCAAAGATGTCGGATGAGAAGGTAGGTTGACCATAGTATCATTCTTTGCTGTCTATTGTGTGTGAAATTCCGAATAAACGGTCCAGATTGAGTCGTGGCCTGGAGGTTTTCGATGGCGGTTTTGTAAAATCGAACAGCTGCGTCTTTCATATGTCGCATTCCCAGTTTAGTACGAGGTTCTACATTAACGATTTTCCGGGGTGAAAACTGTGCCTCGATAAGTTTCCTGATCAAGTTTACAAACATGCTCACTCAGTGGTCGTCGGTTAGAAGGAACCGGCCGGTGGCCTTTGGAACGAACGGCACGGGGGTTTTCTAGAGTAGAAGGTGGGGAGGGGGGCGACCAGACATGTATGAACAAGGAACACAGTTTCACAGATCAACTTGAACTGTTTCTCCGACATATTATATGATTTTAAACCCATCATTATACGACTGTACAATTTTATTTGAACAAAAGATGAGATCGTATCAGACGATAATTTATGCAAAATTATGTTCTATAGATTATAAATTTTGGTTGGGGGATCATAATTATTTCAGGTTTCATACACTTACTTATGTTTAAAGTGCTTATGCTGGAAATCAATCTATCAAACATTATTTGCATTGTTGCCTCACACTGCACATGCGAAAGTCAAACTGTTAGTGGTAGCCAAATTTTATTTATCGGATGGATCTGGAGACAAGTGTCTCTTGGTGCTATCATGGACCAGCTTTGGAACAATTTAAAATGGGGAGTTTTGATACCTGGCCAAACGGAGTCGTGTTTGTGTTGGCACAAAAATTCCCAACAGTAACACCACCTGGTGTGCCTTCTGATGACTGCAGTGAGTTGAGAGAAATCATTGCAGACAGATACGAGGCTTACAACTGAACGTGTCACAGAGTACTTGTTCACTTGTAATTCGGCAAATGCCAATATTCTGCTTCTATTAGTTTTACGGAGTCAGGTTAGTTCTGTAGCACTACTTACCATGTTTAGATAGAAACTACCGGTACCTGGTCATAACATTGACAAAGAAGAACTTCAAAACAGGACAAAAAAGTAGCAGGATTGACAGTTCTGTTCCCATTTCCAGCATGATGAGGTGACCCCCTCCAGCCCAGACATCCACTTTGAGCCCATTGTGAAGCTGCATGCCGTGGAGATTAAGACATTGGAAGAGGAGGAGGAAGTGCTCTTCACAATGTAAGTAAGGAGGGTTTGTGGTAACCCTGATTTAGGGTTTCTTGGATGCATAAAATGCCCTAGAGCACTAGAGGTATTGGGAAAAAAAAAGTTCCTTGCGCAATCAGCAAATGTACTTGCCCAAACAGTGCTTTAACTTGCAAGTGGACTTAGTCATCCCAGTGTTTCAGTATAGTTCTTGTGTAGTGACTGGTGAATTAAATTAGTCAATTCAAGTCCAAGAAGGTCAAAGAAGATGATGTTTCATGTCATGAGCGCCATATCACTTTAAAAAGAACTGCTTTTTTATTTTGTTTTAGGAGAGCAAAACTGTTCAGATATGCCTCTGAAGCAGACCCTGCAGAGTGGAAGGAGAGAGGAGTCGGAGACGTGAAGATTCTACAGCACAAGACAGAGAAGGGGAAGATCAGAGTTCTCATGAGGAGAGACAAAACCCTCAAGATCTGTGCCAACCACTACAGTAAGGCCTTCTCTTCCGCCGGTCGCTAAAAGGCATACTAAAAGATGTATGATTGTCTGGATAAATGATATGATACTGTGAGATGAGGAAAATGTAGAGATCTACTTCTGTTAGAGCAAAATACTACTTTGATGATGAACTTGAGACGACGGGCGGACTGATGTCTGATGTGAACGTCTCATCTGAACAGCATTTTGACACCGATAAAGTCTCTATATAAAAATCTTTACTGATGAGTTTTCCCCAAAATACCAAAGCCAAGATTTACACTACCATTGTTAGTTAAATCTTACCCACAAAATTCCAATTTAAAAGCAGTTTTAAAAGTTAACTGAACAAGTTGAGATACTGCTTTTTTGTACTGATAATACAACTGGCACACCATTTTTGATAATGTCATTTTCAGTCACGCCTTACATGGAGCTCAAACCCAACTGTGGTAGCGACCGTGCCTGGGTCTGGAGTGTGACGGCTGACTTCGCAGACGAGGAACCCAAAGCTGAGTTGTTAGCCATCAGATTTGCTAATGCAGAAAGTGAGTACAATAGTGTTTTACTGCAGGTTGGGCAATAGCAGCATTCCCCCTTAACTTGACTGTAGCGGGAGTCCTTTGTGGTGGGGGAAAATAATGTAGGGAGTGCTGAGGATGTCAGATGTCTTTGATAGCTTTTTAGAATGTCTCTCTCCTGATGTAAAAGTTTAAACTTAAAGTCCTCTTCTATTTTGTCGTCCAGATGCATCCAAGTTCAAGAGTCAATTTGAGGAAGCTAGAGACTTTTTGAAAGAGAGACTGGAAATAAAAGGTAAGGTTTTTACAATGTGCTGAAAGCTATTTGCTAGAGACTTTTTATATCTGCCATTTTGTATATTTTATTGCTTTTATGATGAATTAGAGACGACGGGCGGACTGAAGTCTGATGTGACTGTCTCTCCTGAAAAGCATTTCATCTTGATGTACAAAATATCTGGAGAAAAAATTAGGAAACTCAACTTTCGTCAATAATCTCTTACATAATTGACTCTTCTGACATTTATCTTTGGGGGGTTCCTTATACAACATTTTCATTGTTTTAAAAGTTTCCATATCAATGCAGTGGGCAGATGCTGACCACCATGTATTTCAATAATTCATAGCACAAGCATACACAGAATTTTCTTTTCTTCTGTAGTATTCTTTTCTGTTATACACAATCGATAAAGGTTATTTGAGAGAACCAGAAGATATCTAGATGTTCCAGATGGAACAATTCATTGTAAAACAGTCTGCAGTTCCTTTTCAGTTTGCTAGGTGGTGTGCCAATTCTTCTTTTAGAAGTGTTGAATCAGAACAAACTGCATTGTCCTTGTGTATGAACCCTGCAGCAGAGGAAAAGGCAGACAGTGGTACGGAGTCGGGAAAAGATGAGGAAGATTCTGACGAAGTTGCAGAGAAGCTTGGAGAACTTACCGTCTCTGGAGAGAAATCTGGAGAGGAGAAGGCAGAGACAGAAGGAACAGAGAAAGAAGAAAAGAAGACAGAAGAAACAGACAAAGAAAAGGAGGGGGAGGAAAAGAAGGAATGAATACCTACACCACTTTGCTAATTTAAGGTGTTTTAAATTCATAAATTAAGATTGCTCTTGTTCACTTCCACATTTAATCAGTCTCAGAAATTACTGGTTTTCAGCTTGAAGGGCTCAGGACTAACTTGTAAGTGTTCTGATGGAAAATTTTTACAAGATGAAAATGAATGCAGCTCAATTTTTTATGTTGAATTGAGGGTAACAAGTATGTACATTCAAGCGCATCACTTTTGTCCAGAGGTGCAGTCTACAGAAAATTAATGATCAAACAAATCAGTATAAATAACTGGAAAAAAAGTGTTAGAAAATCTTGAACACCTTTTAAAATGTGTCGCTGCTCCATTTACTATTAGTGGAAATGTGAAAATATAGTCTCAATTGCAGCATCTTTCAAAGAAAGCTTCAGATCGCACAACTTTGTGAAATTTGAAAGTATTGTAGACATGCAAGAGGCTTGAAATTGCACATTTTTGAACAAGAGAACTAGATAGATTCTTTCAATAATTGTGAACATACAGTATGTTAAGCCTGAAACTTAGTTGAAGCAGCACTGTAAGTTTTGGACTGTCTTAGTGGTCATTGAATTTATGTCAACTTGCATTGGCTAGCTGTTTGTATCATAGAAAACTTTGTAAATTGTCAAGTTGCTACATAATTCCATATTCCATTGAGACAATTGAACATTGTTTTATTGAGCGAAAATCTAGAATTGCCTTTGAGGGCTCTTGCTCTCGCATTCATGTATCCTTGCATGTATTCTTGCACATGTATACAACATGTTTTGGTATAATGAGACAAACTCACGTTAAAAACTAGTGAGATGTATTGTAAAAAAGTTCTCACCATTTAAATGTGGCTTGTAGTGAGCCATTATATAGCATAGATATGAAAAAAAAAAGTTTTTGTATTCCTAGTGCCTGTGGAAATATTCTTAGAGCAGCAAGATGTAACAATTTATCAGAACATGTTATATACAGCTGGCACATTTAGACTTAAATGTACTTGCTTAAGTCATATACTAGTATCTAGCTAGCTCAGCGATATCTGTATCTATTGGACTGAACTTGCATTAACTAGACGTAAGTTTCGAAAAAGAAATTATTGAAAAGAAAGTGCAAATCTACCTCCAAATTGTCCATTTATTTGGTACGAGACCACACCAATTCAATTCCTTGATTCTTGGATTTTTGCTTGATAATGAATAGCAACAGGCTGGAAGAATGAACCTGAAAAAATGATGAAACAGGCAATCTGTGATACACCAAAATTCCACCACAGGAGCCTCAAAGTAAACAGGCTGGCAAATCCAAGAGCCAAGAACTTAAATCAGTGTGGTCTGACTCAGAAGTAAGATTCAGTCAGGAGCAGAGCTGTGACATATAGAAAGTGCAGAGTACTGTAAAAACCTAACAATTTCGATACTTTGTAAATATGTTAGCCATAGAGAAGCCATTTGGATTTGGTCACAATGTGCTGTATTACTCAAAAGGTGTAAAAAAAAGGAAGTCATTACTTCTCCAGAAATGACAGACTTGGTGGGAAATGATACTATTTTCTGTACTTCTATGGCTTTGGTAGTACAGTACTTAATGTATGGCAGCATTCAGTAACTATCATACAGAAGCACTTGTACCCAGGTCTAAAAGTCAAGAATGACATCCAAAACGTTGTCACTGTTATGTTATACAACTGTAGAAACTTGGCTGGTACATGTATCATCAATTGAACACTTACAACCTCTCCAGATTTTGTAATAACTGATCACTGTTGCATATTAAAGCAATGAAATTTGAGAAGTTAAGGTACATTGCTATGTTGAATTTGTAAAGAGATTCCTGAAAAAACTTGCTAATTCCATTTGTCATGTCATGTTGGCAATTTTTTTTTTCTTTTGCTCACTTGTGTCTAATGTTACTTCAGTTTTTACTGATGTTTGTTGTGGGATGTAACATGTTTTTTTTTTTTTTAGTTCTGTTCACACTGAAATGTCCTTACCTGTGAATCATGTTGAAGGGTTTGACCCGGTACCTCTGTTTTGTAGATAAATAAAACATGGCTTTCAAATCCTTCAATGGCTGCAGGCAGTCTTCAATTGGATCTCTACTGTAGAAATGTATGTTTTGCTTCACTTCTTAGCTCAGATTCTGTAAAGATGCAATTTTTCAGAATCCAAGAAATGAATTGGCATCTCGGTATTGAGTTTGGACTGTTTTTGATACACCCCCATACTCATGGCTCCTTATGACATTAGGGTGTTCTCAAGTCTTAATAAGTTAGATTTGATTTTTGCCATGTGTCTGGATACTTGTCATGTTTGTACTCAAATTGCAGCCTGAGCAATTTCATGCAGTGTCACCAGAAGAAAATGAAGACACCCTAATAGGTCATAATTCTTCAAGCATGGTGTCATTACCGTGTTATTAGCTAGAAATATTCATCCTCACATCTGCTTGGAGATTTAATAGGCAGGTCCATGTTTGAAACTTCCAATTTTTCACACGTCAATACGTTGTTGTCACACCTTTGTGTTCCTTTATCACGTGAATCTCGCTTGCGGCTCCGTGTTTGTAAAACTGACAGACCAGCTTTGTTTTGAATGTTGTCTTTCTGGTCGGCTCACGTTACGGGTCGTTGGTGTGAGGTGACGTCATTTTCCCATTGCTGAATCATAAGAGACATCATGGCGGCTCGCTTGAAATTGTAAACCGCTGCGTATTTTCATGCTTGACAATCTGCCAGCGTCATTTTCCTCGTATTACCAACTTTTTACGGTGTACAGCGCTGCTAAGGCGTTAAACCTGGGATCACGCCAGAATAGCGGACATTTTTGACAGGCAAACGACAGTGTTTACAGACAACAACACTCTATCTGACACCCCCCTCCCACCCCCTACGCTGGCCTTGTAGCTGAGCCAGACGGACTCAATATTTGCTGGTTGTCGCTGACATGGTCTGACGGCAGAGACGCAGGATGAGCCGATCCAAGGGATTCACCATAGACGACGCGTTTGATCTGCAGGTGACTTCTGATGACGAGGAAGGGGGGTTTCACCAGACAGGCGAGCGGGAACACACGCCGCTGAAGACCGGGGACCCGCCCGTGCTGTCGTTCAGGGATGAACACCACAACACACGGGCTGAGGGGGAGGGGGGCGACTTTCATTATCAGGTACGTATTACTGTGTGACGTCAATTGTGTGTACGTTGTGTTTCCATGTTTTTACAGGGTCTTCATATATATATGGAAGCATTTGTAGATGATTGCTACAAAGCAACCACCTGTTAACATTTTACCAAAATGTATGACATAAAAATGACTGTTTGATATGATTCTAGGGTATGGAGGAATCCGAGGATGACTCCCTCCTTGAACAACCCAGCAGGGCAGGTGTCCCTATCAGGTATTGCCCCCAAATACATGGCATTATCTACAGTAATATTATCAGCAATACGTATAATTATCGTAACCTCAACTCCCCCTACTTTGCCTCTGATATAGCTATACGGGTTATCAAACTATGATAATGAAGATGAATAGATTCATGAAATGAGGATGAACAAATATTACCGGTATGTTGCACTGCAGAATTTAAATCTGCACAATTCTACATTTCTTGGGGCATTTCTTGGGGTATTTCATGGGGCCCAATCTAGAAAAGTAATACAGTATACAAGGGATCGCCATGACATCATGGTAGGCAAAAGCAGGTGACGGTTGGTTGATTTGCCTACCAAAAATTTACATATTATCGCATATATCATATTGATTGATATATCATATTATATGTCTTATATGTATTAGGCCATGTTGATTTGATTATATGGATGACATCCGCGCGCGCATGAATTTTCGGCCATTTCCAAAAAAAAAAAAGGTTCCAACCACACTGTAAATTGTACAAAACAGTTGCAAAATGAGCAAATATATACCAAAAGTTGCAAAAAAAAAATTTGAAAACGATTCCAACGTCGTAGAATGCCAAAATCAAACAAAAACTAAAATGCAAAGAAATGAATTTAAAGAGTAGATTATTCGCCATACCATACTCTGTGTCATTTGTTCGACCTTCATAACAACGTAGATTTCATGAAAGCAACTTTTTTTTTTTCAAAACTTTTTTTTTATTCGCGCGCTCGCATCAGTTTTGGGGTTCCCAGAGGATGTCATCCATATAATCAAATCAACATGGCCTTATTGATATTGCAATTGCTCGTATTGGCATTACACGCAGAACCATAAATTTCAATAGTATAAGATCTGTAACACTCTGACCGAGCTATACCTGTTAACCAGAAAATGCTGTGCATGTTGTGTGTTATTCTGCAGTATCCGGCCTAGAGTGCAGTCTGAAGATTCCTTCATCTCAACATCTACTCACAAAAGCAGACTGTCACTCACACGGTAACCAGAGTTCCTTTTACAACTTCTAAAACTAGAAACAAGTTTTTGTAACGTACAGTAATATTGCCCTTAGTTCATAACTGCATGTAGTGTATATTGTGTACATTATACTTGAACTAGTTGAGCCAATGTAAGTTGACTTAAATTGTGCTTATCCTGACCTGATTTTACCAAAGCACTAGTAATGCAGCACATACCGTAGAGATTTCAGTGAATCAGATAATCATGAAATTGTCCTTTATCAGAACGTGAAGTATGCCCATCATTTTAAAGACAGAAAGTTTATTACATGTAATTAGCGGGCTAATGTTCAGACAAAACTATATGAGAGTTGGCTTTACATGATTGATGTAATAACTCTTCACTCCTGCATTTTATGAACAGATGGTACAGTCATCCCAAAGTACAAGAACACAAGGCAGCTGTCATCGCTTCCTTTCTGCTGCTCTTCATTGGAATTGGTAAGTTGACATTTATTTGGGTCACATTTGAAGCTGTCTAAAATTAGTAATTGTGTAAGTAATGTGTAAGTAAGTGTTCTTGTTAATTGAACTGAAAATCTTTTTTCTTCTCACACAGCCCTTATTATTGTTGGTGTTGTGTTGGAGGTCAATGCAAATCGAGGTAAGAAAAAGAAAGACTGACAATATCTTACTGGCTTTTGTCTCTGTTCATTTGAGAATATCCTTCAGCTAATCCTTAGTACATGTATGCTAACTGCATATATTTATCATACTATGTAGCTATTGTTTGATTATTTATTTAAGAAGACTTAATTGACTGGGAATCTTGCTGTATTTTCTGAACCCCCGATACTATTACTTTCAACAGATATCCAGCCTGTTGTCTTCATTGTCATCGGAGCTATTTGTTTCATACCTGGAGGTAAAGATTCAGTGTTTTTTCTCCAGGCTAAATTAAATCCGCATGTACTCATAATTTGCCCTCCAATACTGTGTTGAAATCTTATAGCAAAATAACTTGTTACTAAGTAATAGATTTTGCTATGATAACTGAAAATAGAACTGAACATCAAATTTCTTCATTCACAACCACTTGTTTACTGAAATTATTCACAGGTGAGAATAGAATTGCTGCGAACATTTTAAGATGTTTAATATTTCCTCTCTCCTGTCCACAGTGTACCATGTTGTGTACATCTACTGTGCCATCCAGGGACGGCCTGGCTTTCACTTCTCCAGCCTTCCCACTTTCAGGTGAACACAGGATCACATGTACGTGAACATAACTGGTCTCCTTGGATAGGGTAGAATAGCAACACCAACAACATTCAGGGCTTGAAAAAAAATGAAAGACTATTTTTCTGCATACTTGCACTGGTGCATTTTAATATCATTGAAATTATCTGCACCAAACAAACTTTAACCTGCACCATTCAGACTGTAGGAAGTACTATGGATCACACTAAAACAGTGTTCAAAAACCACTGCTGGCTATTTCTGCCACTGTCACTACCACTTTCATAGGTGGTAACAGTCAATGGAGCAAATAAAAATGATAAAACTCCACATGCATCTGTAAACCTACTACATGGACCTGTACAGGTTAGGTGCAGGTAGACATCTGAAATACCTGCACAGGCTCAACTTTTCTTGCACTAAGGTGCATATGCACCCAGTATTTCAATCCCTGACATTGGAGCTTGAAAGGTTACGAAGTGAACAAGAGATTATGAAAATTCAGGAAATTTAAAGCAATTTGCAAGATCTACGGTCACCTGCTGACTTATATGGACAGGCAGGCATTTTTAATGCACATTGTTGGTACATGAAATAATGAACTATTGAGCTGACTTTGTTAACTTGTTACCTCTGCACAGCATTAAACTGTTGAAAAGCTCTGACATGTATAGTTCCTAGGAAGAGCACCCTTACAGCAAGTTAGATTCAGGTAAACAGCAAGTTTTTTTTTTACGTATTAAAAAAAAAGAGTAGACGAGAGTTAACATAACACTGTGTATGACTGGTAGATATATCACATAATTTTGTGTGTATATGATGTGTCATATGGTAGATTTATTTTGCATACTTGATGCTATATATCATGTTATTTTTCTATTACTTTGTCTTGTTATCATCATGCTGCTATATATTTGTGGTGAAATATGTGGACCTGACCTGTGTTTTGAGTTGTGCTAACGTTGTACAAGTGACTGATGTACAAGTTACCTCTATTGAGGAACTTTAGCTTTCTAAACTTAAGAAATCAAATTGATATGGCAGTCTTGTTAAGAAGCAGCGGTGAATACACTGGCAGTTGTTTAGAGTTATTTAATGATTCACCTATTTTGAAACTCTGCAGCAGATACACTATAGAGGCTGCTGTGCATTTAGCATTTGATAATTTGGGTGCTGTGAGACTGTTTTGTACAATCAACTGATATTCACATGCACCAGTCACCATTTCAGCAGTACTTGTGACGAAGTTGTGTGACCTGTGTGTCTGATTGAAGCATGAACATATCAAGGGATCATGTTTTTTTGCAAATATGTATTTTTCTCAACGTTGTCATCCCAACTATGCACCTTATCAAAGCTTTTGACTATCTGATGAAGTTGTTGAAGGTAATAAAACGTCACTTTTTTTTGCAATAATTTGCCAAGCTGTCTCGTTCATTCATACTAAATCCATCTGAGAGGAGAAGAGAAGAATTGCTGGAACAAAGCTGCCGTGTTCGTGACAAGGATACAGATGCTATCCATGGTCGACCTTTATGAGCAGAGAAAATATCAGCTTGTCCACCTGGAGCTGAAGATAGGAGCCAGCCCTTAATGACAAGCTGCGCTCCTGCTCATAAAATATGTCTGTCTGTGGCTCTCATCTTTTGGAGAGGCTAGAAAAATCACCAGCAAGTGCCGCCAGCCGTGACGTTTTTAAGGTTCAACACAAATTCTGTGTTGAACCCGAAATATTGCAGCTTTGTAAGGTTTTACGTTAAGTTCTTCAATGTTTAACTCAGTAACCTAATTTGACTTCAAGTTCAATCAATGTTTTAAAGTTGGTAAAGTTGAATCAGATCATGGAGTTAGAAGAAGAAACTCCATGATCAGATAGAAAGAATGGAACTTAGAAGGATAGAACAAAAACCTCCCTCATTTTAAAGTATAACCTCCTATGTTCAAACAAGAAGAAAATGTGAAGAGTTTGTGAAATGGTGAGGCAGATATAATATGACATCCGACATATCTTCGAGGTACTTTTGACATGGGACATCAAACAGCCTTTGAAGGCTGTGCACTTTGCAGTCACGGTCAAAGGCCTAGCCTTTTATTGAAATGATGTCAGCGGAGGGCAGCCATCAGAGGGTGGCGTGGAGATACGCAATCTTTCTGTATCAAGTTTAGAGATGGGAGAACGTGTGTGTGCATGGCTGGGGTTGGGTGTGTGTCTCTGTGTACGTGTGTTGTCGTGTGTGGACATATTTACATCGTTTATGCCCAACATGTTGTGCAATTGTTTTCCCTCGGGGCTTTATATTTTTACTTTTTATATTTCGGGGCTATATATCTTTAAATCAAAGAACACATATTATAGAAGAAGTGCGTAAATTCGTCATCCACTGCCTCAAAAGAAGAAGTAAAACGCAACAAAACTAGTACCATGTAGAATGTAGTATAATGTTAGACGTAGTCTCTCCTACCATTGTATTTTCTTTTTTCATACATGTTGTTTGTACCTGCAATTAGCCCTCGGGCATGTACTTGCAATAAACTTTCATTATGTTCTTCAACTTACTGTTACTTCGTTCAGACACCCAATCCCCTCAGTAAGTTAAAATCACGGAAACCAGGAGTGACATACGACCAGCGACTGGAGCCTAAGTCCGAGGGCACGGTTATCTGCCGCGTTCGTTTGGTCAGCTTGGAGCTCCAAATACCCTGCTACAAGGTAAATAAATCATCAGGCACTCAGAGTGGCAGGGTACGTGGGCTCTCATCGCTGCCAAGTTTGACAAAGAACAAGCCTAGTGGACGCCCGTGTGCTTCAAACGTAGTGCTCTTCTTTAGAGCAGCTTAGACTGAGCACACGACCGTTGCGTGTTCACAGACTTCAACGGATCGCACTTGATGTGTTTTACACGGAATGCGATGCACTTGGAGTGTGTTCTTGACCCAAATGCCTGGAGTACTCTAGATCTCTGCGGTGTTATTGACTTTCGATGTGTTGTAAGAACTTTTATCTAGGTTATCCGTGCGGAGAATATGATATAAAGAAGTCTTACTGTTGATTAATATATATATAAGATAAAAGGTTCATTTGGCTTGTCCATGTTTGCAAGGGTAAACTTGCCGTTCTATAATCATGGAGGGTATGAATGGTTTGCATAGTATAACCACTAGTTTCGTAATCAAGAGTGGACGATAGAACATAAAAAGACACATTTGCACAGATTCAGTGATATTTACTTTTTTCTCAAGAACATGTCCTAAAACAACATGGTACTATAACAATAATGTCATAAACAACTTCTTTTCGCTGAGTTACCCTCACGTAACAAGGTAACAATACATTATCTGACTCTTATGACGTTGATAGAGATTTTCTAAAGTCCGCATCAAGTGAAACTTTAAGGAATTCTACCGCAAGTCTTTCAGACCACGAGGACGGAAAGAGTCCCTGGAAAAACCCACAGTGTCCGCCCTTCTGCGTCAGAGCCAGGAAGAAGTGAGGGTACGTCTGAAACAGCTCTACAGGGATGCTGTCTTCAGGCACCAGCGGGTCATCCTTACTACTTACACACAGCAAAGGTGTGGCCACCTCGTCTACGTCCCTCAAGGGTTCATTCTCGGCCCAGTACAGATCCCACGAGCTGTAGCCGTTTAATCTGACGTGAACTCTTTGGTGGAAGGTTGACAAAGTTCTACTTCTCATGGCGAGTTCACATTGGGTATAGTCACTATCATTGTCGTATAAGACTGTAGAGTGCCTCATGTATACAAGTTTCTGTCTTTGCAGCCACAGTTTCTGCCACCAGATCGGAATAGAAGAGGAGTCATAAAATTCCCTAGCCGAGTAGACTGGAGAAATGCAAGCGGCAGAGGCTATGTGAGTAGAGGAGCCGTACTCTCCGAGATACGAGAACAGAAGCCCACAGCCAGCACTGAGGGACAGAGCGACGATTTCCGAGTTCGGTTCCACTGCCTTGATATATTCCACGGCTTCCCGTAAGTCCGAGGGATCCCCGAAACTCTGTAGCCTGGGCGTGGTGAGGGGGACGTAGTCCTGTCCGCGCCGGCGGAACACCACCGCCTGGAACCCTTGCTTCCCGGCCTCGGCACAGACTCTGTCTATCCCCGCACCGGTCGCTAACGTGTCGTACACAATCAGCAAGATGGGCCGGGACGGCGCTTTCGTCTTCTTAGGTCCATTCACGGGTTTATCAGTGGAGTTAGTAACGTCCCAGTCTAGACCAATGATTCCACCGTCCTTCATCTCCAGGTACTCCCGCACAAATCGTATAGGAGAGTCGGGCGATACGATCATCGCTAACGCCGTCTGGAGATGGCAGCTGTGGGCCCACACCGTGGGCACCAGGACGGTCTGCAGTCCGAAACATTTCTCCTGAAAGTACGCCTTCAGTAACGAGTCCTTGGACACAAATTCAGGAGTGTCGGCTTGCTTGACACGCTTCATGCAGATCCACAGGTATAAGATGACGATCACAATCCAGGAGTTGTACAGGCAGGTCGGGAAAATGTGCTCCACTACCTCCACGTACTTCGTGCTGAAGTTCCCCATGTCTCTACCCAGGCTGCTATGGTCGATAACTGCGCATGCAGAATTATCACCGATGGACGGAAGCATCGCACTCGGTCCTGTGGGAAAGAAAAACGGCATGCATTACAGACTCGAATTATGCACTTATTTCTTAGCTTCCTCCACATTCACACCACCACATTGGCATGATGAATGGCGTATCTTATCTCCTCGTTGTTGCTCGGTGTTTTGCTGTAAGCCGTAGACTTACGTGACCCCCCATCAGTCTACAGAACAGGCCATAACTCTCCCTTATCGCAACGCCTTCTGTCTGTCTATGGATTCTGGCGCTCTTTTTCTTCCTTCCGGTTTACCTTTTCAAGAGTTCAAACAGGCCGAGATTCCCCCATGGAAACAAACCGCAAAGTACCTGGCAGTACTGAGTCATTTTCAAGTCAGTGAAGTACCCTTCCTCGTGCATGCTGTTAGCCCAGATAAAACGTCGGTTCATCGTTCTTTATATCAACAGACCATATTTCAGTAAAAAATGTGTTGCCACATTTAAGAGCTTTTCTCTATCGTTTGTGATATGGAACTATAAGATAAACATTTACGATCTTCCAGCTTCTGTCTAAATATCACAGGTCCAAGCATTTAGTATGGTGTCCACTGTCTATGTCCTCTTGGTATCTCTGACATCAGTTGGCCATTTTCCTTCCTATCCCCTCCCCACATACGTCATAATATGTATATGTATCCTGAGTTTGACATCATCTTGACGTAGAACACACGGTATCTGTATCTGTATAGCCGGTATAATCGCCCTTTGGCGTAACACATTAGGTTGCAATATTGGCAGGCATTCGGCGCGTCGGCAGCTCGCTGCATTACACCGAACGACTTGTTACACCTAACCCTTGAACATCTTACTCTAAACATTGCTGAAAGCTATCTAATGATAATACCCCTACTGTACTTGGTGACAGTGAGTTCCACTCTGCGATAGTTCTATGAAAGAATGAGTTTTTGAACACCTCAATCCTTGGTTGATAACGCTGGTACTTATGAAGGCATGCCTATCTCTTGTTCTTTTCTGGGCTGGTGAGGAGATAGTGAAATCAATACGACAATAGTTCAGCATGCCCGCCAGCTGACCTCTGTTCCTGCCAACTATCTCTAGGCTAGCTTTTCTGGGTCACTTGTAAATTACACCTTTTTTCATTAACGTTTCATGATTGAATGAGATCATAATCATTTAATGGATTTTCATATATCTGGTCATAGAGACGCGTTGCTTCTATAATTGCTTTGTGAGGTTTACACCTGACGGTCACCGCAGAGTTAACTGTAGCAAGTCTACTTTAATATCGGAAATAGTTACCGAGAGTCGCCACTCTATTATCGACATATTGAGACCCTCAGACGTTGAAAAAACATGACTTGTTTTTCAATCCCCGATTCGGTTGGTAAAACTTCTTCCTTCTGCCAATAGCGCTTTTCAAACACACTCGTCACAGCTACAACCGGAATAGGACCGGGACATTAAACCCAGGCCTGTCTATTACGCACATTAACCGCAAATGATTGAAAACGAAATAGCTGTTGAGGAAGCATCTATTTCAATTACTCCGGCGCTAAAGCTGATCCGAGTTAATTGTCCTGTCGGCCAGACAGTGGATCTGTAATGATCCGACTAACAGATGCTGTAAGATTGAAACGCCGAGCGACACGATTTGACAGGATGAAATAGAAATGGAGGCGTTGGTCCAAATCATCAACACGGCTCACTGTAGGGTCCTTTGGCAGGCACCCAACTGTACGGCTGATGAAATACACCAACCATTACTGTTTCCGATGATTCAGAAAACTGTTTCAAACACGTCCCTGGCAAAGTAAAATCGTCCAGAAAAATCTATACGGAACAGTGAACCTCGCCATTTCATAGAAATATATAAACCTGACAAAAATTATACAGAGAACTATTTTCCATCGTGTACTGTCTACCATACACATCCAAAACATACAAAATGTGTCATAAACTAGAACCATAGGAGGAGCTATTTGTTTGTGTGTGCCTTGGTTTTGTATCCTTGTCAACTTCTTAGACCAGTATACCCTGACCTTGGTGCTGAATTTTGCTCCCCTTGCGCGTAACGTTACATTGGCCGCCTGTAGATGGATCGGGAAAACGCCATTTCCCAGGGGTTGTCACCTTATCTTATTCTCCAATATAAAACCCATAGAATAACCAGATGCATGCATTTTATAAGAAAAAAAACACGTATGGGCCAATCTTGTGCAGTCAGCTGTCTACCTGATTGGGGTCAATGCGATAATTTAGGGAAGACCACCAGCAACAATGGGTTTACATTTGAAGGACGGCTTGACGTTTAATATTTCTTGATACCTGGAAGACGTGCCTGTTTCAGAATTGAAAAGTGTGTGGTTTCAATATGCGTGGGCTAAAGTGATACTCTATCAAGTGTAAGTGGTAATACACTTACACTTGACAGAGTATCATATTTGTTGAAGGAGGAATATCACATCATACAGCCAGCTCTCACACACCGAAATAGGTTTTGAGTGAGCCAATAACATGTATATCGGTAATTTGTGAGTGCTACGTATAACATATTGACAGTCCTGTGCTATATGGCATAGCCTTCGTCCATCTTCGTACATGTACATCCTTGTTGGATAAAATTATAGAACGGTGCAGCCGTCAGCGTGTGTGTTTTCCCATGACACTAGGGCTAATTAAAAGGTCCTAATGAAGTTACTGTGTAAAGAAGGGAGCTTGTCATTCTTTCACACTGATCTTGAAAGCTTCAGAAAACGAATATTACTACAGACTGGATTTAGACAAGACAGGATTCCTTCATTTTTTCGAACGTTGCGGAGCGAAAATCCGGATGGTACCCAAGCTAGGATTCCTTATCCCTAGATGAAAATGTGTACAAATTATTCGCCCTGACGAAAAGTCCTCGCCTTTCATTATAAACAATAAGCCGAACAACTGCCTTCAATCACTCACCGGGGTACGCTTTTGAAAACAGCTGGCATGACCTTGACAAGCCTACCTCTGTACATGTCCCTAATGTTATATACAAAAACACAGATTGTTTTGCCAGACGAATCCACGTTACTTCTCAAAACATGCACTAACTTGAACACAGTGGCACAGTGCCTCATGAATCGTAAGATGTTAGTTAAAAGTTTTGGAACTGACACATATAGCTACTCAGATGATTACGTGTAGTTAAATCTTACACAGGCAAACAAGTAAAACAGCTTACATAGTTACGTGTAGCCACTAGTTTTGCCATAACCGACGGTACAGGCGGTCTTCTACTTTGGACGATCATAAAGATCTTCTTGCCTCATGAAAAACACAGTCGGCCAGCCCAGCGACTTCGGTAGAATAACAGACAACCTTGTTTGTCAATAACAAAGTTGTACGTCGTTCGTTCTGTCGCCTCTCATGCCCGAAAGGCAAGTAGTCAGTGTAGGGCCAATTTTCACGACAAAACAAATTATGGATTACGTCAAGCATCTACCAAAATGGCGTCCATGTGGAGTAAACGGAATTGATGGAAATGACGAATGTCAATTCAGAGACAAGCAAGCCCATTTCCTTAAAATGATATTCTAGTCCAGTGCCAGACATAGGCTGATTTACCGTCTGTACAGTATCAGTCTGCTGGTGCCAGGTGGTGCACATGAAATGTATTAATCATGACCTTTGTAATGCGTTCACCATCGAATTTCAGTCAGTAGAAATATGGTTAGGAGCCAAGATGAGCAGAGAGTAACTGTGAAAGTTACAAAAGAAACAATTTCTTTTAAGATAAACGCCAACTAACAGCAGTTATATATTCTATCTAATGCATAAGAAGTGTAATAATGAACACTCTGATTACCATCGCACCCTGCAGTCAGACGATGACGTCAGTACACTAACCAGTTCTAGCGTGAATACAAAACGTGACGCATCGATTGTATTAACGTTATTACGTTGCGCATACAGCATTGATACACTGTTAACAAAATGCGTTAATTCCTTCCCTTAATTCCTTAATGGTAAATGATGGGAATTTCAAACTTGTGATACGTGTAAGCTAGTTAATGCCAATTTATCCTTGTCGCGTAAAAGTGATTGATACATGTGTGTCATCGAACTGACAGGCAACAGGACTCGTGATGTCCTTCCCCCGCCCGGCACAGACCCTCTCCCGGCGGTTAATTGTTCCCTCAACCCGCCGCCAGCATTGAGCACGACTGGTCAAATATTGGCAGTCAATTCCTGACGACAGGTTCTGGCGGGCGCCATTAATCACTGTTCCCGGTATAAAGGATGGTGCAGTGTCGGGAAGCCGGCCGGAACCCTGATTATCGCGGATTAAAGGGCTCAGCGGAGAGGTGTTTACGGAGGTCTGATGAAGACGAGTGGGCGGACCGACCGACCTGTGACCGAGTACTGATCACACGGGGAGACCATCGACCGACTGACATACGGGCGAACGATGGAGTCAAGGACAGGCTGAAGGGGATTATCTCTCCGTGTCTGTCTTTGTATTCCCCCTACAATGTACCTCTCTTTGTATGCTTGTCTGTCTGTGTGTGTTTGTGTGTGTTGTTTGTTTGTTTGTGTGTGTGTGTGTGTGTATTTGTAATCGTGAGCGTGCGTGTGCCTGCGTGTGTGTGTGTGCGTGTGTGTGTGTGAGTGTGTGAGTGTGCGTGACTCCCTCTCTCTCTCTCTCTCTCTGTGTGTGTGTGTGTGTGTGTGTGTGTGTGTGTGTGACTGTACACGCATGTGTTTGTGCGTGTGTGACAGTGTATGTATGAATATGCGTGTGTGCGCGTGTGGTGTGTCTATTCGCGCAAGTTTTCGCAGGATTGTTTCTGCCAGATTGCAGCCATAACAGCAAACGCAGCGCACTAAATCCACACACCTGTGCCCTCAGCGATAGTCTACATCACACCACAATGTTGGCAGCTGAAAGGGAATATTTTGGAAACCTTCCCTACTTCACAATACGTGCCAATATGTATTTGGATCCACGCCCATCACTTTGGACGTCTGTCAAACAAATTAGACACAAATCATTTCCAGACGTTTCTAAGAAGCCAACCGATACATGACATACATCACATCGATACTGGTGGACGACTCCTGTATATCCATCTTTGTCTTTGCTAACTTTTTCTCTGGCAGTTTTTTTAACTGTCTAGCAATGACTTACTTTATCTTATATAGCTTGCACGGACGAAACTAACACATGTACAATACGTAGATTTTCTCTGAATCATTCAGAATCTGGCATGATTAAAGTACATGTATATCGTAGACTGTGTGTACTTGTACTGAGTAAGGCTGGCCTCGAACTACTTTCAATACCCAGATACCGGTCTGGTCCATAAAAAGAATGCGTCACGCCCATGCATGGTAACTCTCAACAACTTTCATCGCTACTCACGACATGACGACCCGATAACCTCCCAGCAAGGGCGCCCTGACTTCACTCAGCACTGCAGGACGGACATGAGATGTGGCCACAGCGATAAGTAAGGTTGGCAAACGTAGCAAATTATCCCCGTCGTCGCCGTGACTGGCTTTACCTCAAGGTCGCGTCTCGCGGAATGGCGGGTCGATATCTGTGTCTGAGCCCGAGCGGACCGCGCGCCGTGTGTCAGCACCCCGCCAACCGTTACGCAACCGACTCTCGTGTTTTCCCGTCCCTCCGCCGTGGTAAGACAACAAAGTCTTTGTGAAGATAACTTAAGACTGGAGACAACGCGGCTCGGGATGAGCGTCTTAAGTGGTTCTTGGGGAAGTTTCTGTGACAAGTCTGGATGAGAAGACGGATGTGCGGTAGTGTCGGAGGGGGAGAGTTCATGTAGGAGTGTCAGGGATCAGATCGT